GGCATGTCGAGCAAGACATACAATACAAATAGCACAAGATCTTATTGAACATGGTGCATGTATTAGTGCACATGATCAACTTAATATTCAACCAATTCATTATGCATGTTGGGCAAGAAATCAAAGTTTAATTGAACTTTTACTTTCAAAAGGTGCTAAACTTACCGATGAAGATAATTTTGGTCGAACACCAATTCATTTTATATGTATGCCAACATATGTTGAAGCAATTAATACTGATGATCAACAACAACAATGTGATTTAATGAAATTTATATTAAATAAATATGAAAAAAATAGTCATCTTATTGACTTAAAAAAAGAAGATAGTCAAGGTCATACATTAATAGCATATGCATGTGTAAGTCAAAATCTTCCATTATTAGAAATTCTTCTTGAAAAACAAACTGAATTATTAAATAAAACAACTATCGATGGAAGAACACCATTAATGATTGCTATTGATGAATGTTTTGTAAATGGTATTGAATATTTACTTAAGCAACCTGGTGTTGAAAGAAATGTTTGTGATATAACTGGTAATACAGCTATACATCATGCATGTATGTGTACAAATACTTCAATGCGTGAAAGTCTTCTTCATTTATTAATGGATAATACAAATGGTACATTTGATCTTGAAAAACGAAATGAACAATTAATTGATCCATTTATGTTATGTACAGTAAATCAATCAATTGATTTATGTCGTGTATTAATTGAAAAAAATGTTTCATTAACAAAAAAAGATCTTTATTCAAGACAACCTATTCATGTTGCATGTCAAATGGGTAATTATGATTTAGTATCATTATTGATAAATTCTCCAAATGTCAATATAAATGCAGTAGATGATAATAATCGAAATTGTTTATTTTATGCTATAAGTTATGGTGATGAAAAAATTGTTGATTTATTACTTGAAAATAATATAACTATTAAAATTCGAGATCGTGTTGGTGATACACCATTACATTCAGCTGTACAACATAAAACAAATGCATTTAAATTAACAAATAGTCTTTTAACAAAACAAGATGGAAAAGATTTAATTAATGAACCAGCAGCTGATGGAATGAGACCACTTTTATTAGCAGCAGAATATAAACAACCAGAAGTTATTTATCTTTTAATTAAAAATGGTGCTAATGTTAAAGCTGTTGATGGTGAACATCAAACAGCATTACATATAGCATGTAGAAGTGATTGTATGAAATGTGCTTTTTATCTTATTGAATTTGGAGGTTTAAATGTTAATGAACTCAATTGTTATCGACAAACACCAATATTTCATGCTTTTGCTGCTAATGATTTTGATCTTGTTCAATATCTCGTATCATGTGGCGCTCAAATTGATGTTCGTGATAATCAAAATTACTTACCACTTCATATGGGTATAATTATATGCGAAAATGAAGAATATAATTTAAATCTAATTGATTTATATAAAAATAAACATGAAAAATTACTTGATGATCACAATAATGAATGTCATATGACACCGTTAATTTTAGCATGTATGCAAGGTAAATTCAATGTTGTTAAACATTTAATATTAAATTACAAGGTAAATGTATTGGCTAAATGTTCAAATGGACATACACCATTACATTATGCTTGTTTACTAAAAACTCAAAAATCATTAGAAATAGTTCAATTTTTAATGGACCATGGATGTACATATGACAAGGTTGATCAACCAAAAGGTACATTTTTATTTACAGTTGCTCAACATGGTGATCGAGCAGCAGCTATGTTTTTTATCAATTATTGGCTGGTAAGTCAATTTTTATTTTTCTGAAACATGAACCAAAACACTTTAACAAAGTTCTCTTTTCTCTATCACATATCATGACAGATACCATAGTATTGCTATTGCTTTCTCATAGATTAGTACAGGTAGCAATTTTTCATAGTAAAATGAATTCTTTTTTTTTCGTCAATAACATAGTTCTCAAATATATAACATGCAGAATAGATGAATTATTAATAGTGAGTCTCCAACAGGAAGAACATTAAAGATCATGCAACATGTTTCGAGTGGATTGGCATTGCTAGGAAATGATATCGTATTTTTCATTAACACGTGTATGAGTAAGCGTGAACATAGGACCAAAGTTTCTTTTCTAACTAAGACCAAAAATAATTGATTCCGCTTATCAATAGTCAGCAGACTCCGAAAAACAATAGGAACTTGAAAGCAGTATTTATGATAATCGTTTCCGATGGTTTCAACTTTCTATCATTGCTCACAATATTCCGGACAGAGTTGACCCTACATTATTCGTCTTCATAGCATTCTTTTTCCCTTTTTTTCATATTTGTCATGCATTAACAGTAGATAGAAATTTACAAACTGAAATTTAATGTTGGTTTGTTTGTTTTTTCTTTTTTAGAAACAGAGTCCTAATATTAATGAAGTACATTATTGTGCAACAATTCTTGATCTTCTTTTTGATCGCGCAAACATACAACATCATGATATTGATACTAAACATCTTCGTGGTTTAATTGAAAAAGGTGCTTGTTTGTTTACATCAAAATTACCAACATTTCCATGTCCATTAATAAATGATTGTCCAGCTTTTTATTTAATTTTACTTGAATACAATTGTGTATCAATTGTTGATAAACATAAATTTATTTTTCAAATTTTACATTCAGTTGCAACACATCCACATAATTTCTTATTATTAAATTCAAAAGATAAAGAATTTATTACTGTGTGCGAATATTTCTTTAAAATTGCTCAATTAGCACATTATAATTATAATATAGAACATTTTTATTCACTTGTTGATAAATATTGTTTTCCTCAACTTAATGCTGAACAACCAAGTGAACAAGTAGAAATACTTCGAAAACAATTGGATTCTTTACGATCAACTCCATTAAAATTATCTGAAATAGCACGAAAATTAATTCGTATTAAAGTTGATCTTCCAACAAAAGAGAAATTTCAACAAATGGATTTAACTCGATATCTTACGGAATTTCTTTCACAATCAACATTTTAAAGAACTAATATTAATCATACTTGTACATTTTAGATGAATGATTGATGTAACTTGTAATTTTTGTGAATATTCAATAAAAATAAAATTATTACTCATATATCGTTTGTTGAAATTTAAGAAAATATACATGAGCTTATTGAGAAAGTCGATTTTATGGTCGAAATTAAGATATAGTCCTTTTTCTAATATCAATTCATTCGTAGTATTAAACTAAAGTTATGAAAAAAAAAAACTTTAGACTTCTGTGATTTGATTTCATGGAGCTATAAGCGTTGAAACATGAGAGACTCTGAGAAATACAAACAAGAAAAGGGATCTTCATTATTTCATTTATGTCTTCATTCTTTATTCATTTTGTTTGAACACCATCTCATTTGAAAGAACATATAAAACTGAGCAAAAACGTTGCGAATAGATTTCTAAAAAACTACAGTTTTATTAATCTGACTTTTTTTCGATTGTAAAAGATGATTTTCAATATGATTACTAATTAAAGAACGACTTTAATATAGTGTATCTTGTATAGAATTTTGTGCTCTACGAAAGTGTTAAAAATATTCTGATCAAAAAGTTCCAGGACAGACCGAAAAAAAAAGAAAGCAAATTATTCCTGAGAAAGAGCTTTATGCTTTTTTAAATGGTATGTAACAGATTTTGCTTCGAAAAATTTCAATTTGATCAATATTAATATGATATTTTGAATCAGCATTAAAAACTGAGTCAACTTGTACGAGTTTCAAATGTGTATGAAATGTTTTTTTTTTCATTGAAAAAATTACCCCTGGTACCTCGCAGGGCTTTGCCAAAGACTTAAATTCATCAAAACGCTCGTTTTATTACACAATCATCTTCCAGTTTGTGACCCTACTTTCATTTAAAAAAACTTAAAACTTGCTTCTTACTGTCAACATAAGTTCTTATAGAATTTCAATTTTTGACTAAATCTCCTAAAGGGCAACAGGGGCGAATTTTTCGATGCAAAAAAAGCGTCTCAAAAATATTTGAAATACACATAAGTCGATTCAATTTTTGAATGCTCATACAGAATACTATATTCATTTTGATCAAATTGTAATATATCTAAGCATAACCTGGTAAATACTAGTCAAAAGGACAGCGACTTCTACCTCAAAGATTATGCGCTCCTGCCTTTTTTGAAAATTTTTTCTTAAAATCTTTATACTGATTTTGTAGAGTGCAGAATTTTCTACAAGATACATTATATTAAAGTTGTACCTCGATTAGTGATCATATTCAAAACCGAATTACAATCCAAAGAAGTCAGTTTAACAAACGTACAGTATTTCAAAAAAGATAATTCTTTGATACTAAGCTTCGACTTTTTTCAGAAATCTATTTGAGACTTTTTTGTTCAGTTTTTTGTATTCTGTCCAATGAGATATTATTCAAAACAAAATGGGTACAAGATGACGTAGATATAAGTGGAACAATGAAAATAATCTTTCTTTTTCGTATTTGTTAGAGTCCTTCATGTTTGTCAAGGTTCTAATTTAATGTTAGAAAGCGATTGATATGAAAACAAGTATTTATGAATTTTGTCCATAAAATGACTGTTGACGAACGCTCTGTCGATTGGCGAAACCTCTCTTAACTTTTGTTTCTTTTCAATTTCAGTACATCTCTTACTGAAAATAAATTGTCTATTAGAAAAATTTCATTTATCTTGGATAAATTTATATGATTCGAAATTAAATTTTTTCGTAATTAATAAACAAAAAGAGTTCATCTGACATAGAACTAAATAGATGAAAGAATTCACAAAAAATCAATACTTTATACTAATAATAATTTAAACAACATACACAAATCTGAACAGGTCACACCAATTTTTATGACCGGAATGTATAAAGCAAATGATAAATTTCTCACAACAAATGAAAGAAAGAAATAATATCCGTATTAATATAACGGTAACAATGGAATAGACAAATTCAATTGAACAGAATGACATGTAGCAGATTATCACAACTCTGAAGAAACACATGCATTGAAATTTAATTCATTTGGAGTTGTCATTAGCGATGGAAGAGTACTTTGTCGATTATATTCATGATGTTCTTCGTCAAGTCGAACACGATTTTCATCTTTTTTAATAAGATTTGGATTTTGAGCATACAACTCAGCACCCCTATTAATATAAATTATATTAATATAACAATAAAACTATTTCAAAAAACAAAAAAAAAGTACACACCAATACATTTGTTGTACTAAATATCGACATCGTTCAAGTTGTGCTCGAACATCACGTGGAACACGTGAAATGAGATTTCGAACAAGAAAAAGAATACTATACACAAAATGCTAAGAAAAAAAAAAATCAATCATCAAATATATTATCAAAATATTAAAAACGAACAACATTACTTCAAATATAATAACAAATGCTAATCGTGCTACCATTACATAATAAAACATATATGAACGACCATAATTTCGTGCATGATCCTATATAAAACAAAACAAAACAAAAGAAATAATAATAAACATGAATTATTCATATTTTGATTCTTACAAGTCGATAATCTTTATAATAACAAGTAGAAAAATCAATTTGTGAACGTATTTCATCAGCTAATGTTGAATTACAATCAAAATATGATAAATGATATGATTGAGCAAATGGTATAAAAAAAATTGATTCTTTAGATAAATCAATTAAACGTGATTCAATAAATTGACATTCAAGTAATGTACGATTAATAATTGATGGAAAATCATTTGAATGAAATGGTGTTAATGTATGATTAAGAAAACCATTTAATGAATAATTTCCAATTGTCCAATAATAAACTTGTCGAGGTATATATTCTGATGTAATTGCAATTAAAAATGCATTTGATAAAACAGTTATTTTAGCCATTATAGTTAATATTGCATTCCATGTTCCAATACCCATTGCACGACGTGCAACAGGTCGACGAAATTCTTTAACAACTTTAAGTGCATCAATACGTATTTCAAATATATTATTTATAAAAGCAAATAATGGTGCTAATGGAAATGAAAAACAAAAAAATGTTATAAAACCAAATTGTAAAATAATTTCTAAATATTCATAAAATAATGTTGTTAATTCAAATGGTTGTAATAAAAAATCTTCTTCATATGAACGTTTTAAATCAATTCTTGATAATTGTTCATGCATTCGTTTCATTTTAGCATTACGTTCATTTATTTGTCGAACTGTATGACGAAATGTAATACGTTTACGACACATATTCCATAATTTAGAAAAATAAAATTCCCATATATTTGATATTAATTGTTTACCAATCATTATAATTATTAATTGAATTGATAATTCCCATACACAACCACTTACATCACATTCTTCAAGACGAAGTGCTTTTGAATGTCGATCAAGATATGTTGGTTTATATATAATTAATGGTTTTATTAATGCTATATAGAATATACTTGCATAATAATTCACAAATTGAAATAAAAACATTTTTATTGTTAAACTTGCTTCATAAGTTTTATCAGTTCGATGTAATTCAACATTAGTTAACCATATAGCAAGAATTTCGTAGAAATATTGTAAAATTAAAATAATAATTAAATTGATTAATGCTAAACAAGAAATATTTTTTTTTTTATAGAAATGTTTTATAAGGTGTACACAATTCGAAATTTGAAGAAAAAAAAATATTTTGTCACAGTTACATAGAGCTTATTAAAGTACGTGAGAAAAATGTAGTTTTTGATATATTTAGACGATGGGCTAGTAGTGAAAATTAAGTTTAACAAAATTTTAAAGAAGTCTAGAAAAATTGAAATACATTAAAAGCATCAACTTTCAGTAGCCTCAATATTTATCCGAATGACTTCTTTTTGTTTAATATAATAAGAAATTGGGGTTCCGGAATTTTTTAATTTCACTGTGAATTGAATAAAGACTAAACGACACCCGTCGACTACATCAATGAGTGGAAGCTATGATATATATATACGAATACTATTAACTCCACCCTCCATATGTATCCTATATTCATATTGTTTCGTGACAACTTGCGAAAGTCTACCCTAATTTCGTTACTATATACGTGGGAACTTTCGCTATTCGTGAAATTCTAGTCATCCCAAAAAGCACTATAAATATGGATTTGTATTCTAAGATTTTGACTATCAGAACTCTCGTGTCAAAAGACATGAATATCATATTCAGAATCAGCTCAAAAACTTTGCATGGAATAGTGTAGTCAACACTTAAAACTACTCGAAAACATTACAAAACTTTTCTTACACTCTGAATAATCATAATACTTTTTTGAAATTTGATAAAGATAAGGTGTTATATGATAGATGCGACTAGTAATGGCAAGCGATGAAATGTCAATTTAACACAGTCGATCGACAATTAAGATAAAAAAATAAGACTTGAACAAGTTCTAACTTTCGGCAATAATTAGTGTGCAGTTTTCTATTTTTATTTGAGCATACAATAAGAAATTGAGACTCATTATATATTTCTTAAATGGTTGTCGTATTAGTATAACGATCTTAAAGAAAAGATATGTAAGTTCTACATTTTAGTTGCTTAAGAACTTCATTGATAAAGCTCTTCCACCGATGAAATACTATAAAGATTTGTTTGTCGAATCTAATCATTTTCGATTGATATTATCGATATCTTATAGAACTCTATACATGAGCAGACAGACTTTTCCTGAACAATATCGAAATTTAAATTAACAAACAAACTATTTATATATAAAATTTTGTTTTAAATACCTCCAGTTATTGGTACAATAATAGGTTTCCATCGATAAATCCACATTTCTCGATCAATTGAATTAAATGCTGCTGAAACACTTAATCTAATCAAAATTAATTATTCATAATCAAAATTCAAAAAAAAACAATAACAAGAATCGTATTATTACCGATAAATAATAATACCAGCAACAACAGCTAAAACAAGTAATACCATTAATAATACAATTGAAAATGATGATCTAAATAAACAATTATTTATTTAATATTAAATTAAAAATTTCAATTTGAAAAAAATAAAAAAACATACGTATAGTAAAGAATTCTTTTATAAGATGGTACATATGGTTCAACTTTGTCGGTTACTTTATTTATAATTGTTTTTTCAACACGTCGTTCAAAATCTGGTCGTAATGTTTCAGTTTCTTCAGCAATATCCGTCTAACAAAAAAACAAAACAATTTATTTTCATTGAATAATATTTATGATTTTTCTCTATTACCGTATCCCATTCATACTGAAGTCGAAATTCATGTCGTTGCCAAAGGAAATTAATACTTACAGCAAATATGCTTATCATTATAGCAAAAGCTACGGAAGCTGAATTATCAAAAACATAAGACATCTATAGAGAAAAAAATTAATTCGTTTTATTATTTGAGATAATTTTTATTTTGTTTTTAAACATACTTTTGCATTGAAACAAGTTTCATTTAAAAACCAATATGATTGTCGATCCTAAGATCAAAATAAAACAAAAATCAAAATTAATAAAAGAAATTTTTTTGTTTTTCTTTACAATTTTTGGACACATTAAATAACTAGAAGTTGAATTACATATATCAAGTGTTGGTCTATCATATTTAACTGAAAGAAGACCCCATAGAAAGACGAATATTCCAAGAATTGATGGAATTATTAATAAAGAATTATACCATCCAAGCCAAGCAAAATAAAATGCTAAACGTTCACCATAATAATCTCTTATAGCATGAATTGGTTGAATACGAAATATATTTCTAAATTTCGCCCAACGATGATATAATTTCTTAAAGAAAGATTTTTGATTTATCAAAAATATATTCAAGTCAAAATAAATCAGACGTAAGATTAAATGAAATTGTACAAAAAAAAAAGTATATTTTATATCAAGTTCGTTTAAGCTCGGCAATGGCTGCGAAACCTAAAATAGTTCTTCATCCGGACGATACTCTCAGAACCTTTGTTACGAAAAATGTTTTTAAGATTCGTAGAACGAAAAAACAAATCGGTATCAAAAATACGAAACCATTTAATTTCGATACTTAAAAAGATTCATTATTAAAACGAGGTTTTTTAGAGAGTATAACATTCTTCAAAATATCTTACCACTACATAAGATTTTCTGTAATCTTATCTTATGATTAACAAGGGAAATTCTTCAATTAATTAATCGCTTTTGAGTCAAGACTAAAAGCTAATTTTAAAATTTCGTCTTGAAACTTTGCAATGAGACAGGCTTGAATGAGAATAGAGTTTTTTAAATGTTTCAGATCTTGTTACTGTTCCTATTCGAAGATACAGCTATAATGATAGCGTTTCTCTTATATCATTCAAATAAATAGGTAGATTTCATGTTCTTATTTCAAGATAGAAGCAAATCAAAAGACTTTAAACTTTCACAATAAACTACTCTCATCAAGTTCTATTTCTATGCACAGCTTCAAGTTGAAATTCGAAAATTAGTTTTTCTAGTGAATACTGTAAAAATGTAGTATCTTCACAATAATAAGTTAAGAATACGAACTCTTTTCAAAGTATTCATAACACATTTGAGTCTACATAATGCATATAGTCTCGACTTAAAAACGATTTATCACTTGAAGAGTTTTCCTTGTTGGCGTACGATTTCTGAAACTATGGTTTTCATCTGATTATTTGACTTAGATATAAATTTACCATTCGATCATTCCATGTTTCAGGTTCACCAGCATCTTGTTCATGAATAAGTTGGTCATGTAATGGATATGCTGCTTCATATACACCTTCTTCAAGTAATACTTCAATACCTATGAAGACAAAATTTCGTATAAACATTATCCGAATGTTCATCCAATGGCATGCAACAAAAAAACTAAACATAAAACAATTAAATCAAATCAAATCAAATACATAAGCACATACTAAGCAAGCGATAAATACTGATCAAAGAAGAACGTGAAAAATCTATGAACGGCAAATACTACTCGGCTTGTTTTTGTTACCTGTATCTTTCATTCCTAAAAATTTAATTAGATGATTTATTAATTCGAAAAACAACTTCAATGAAATAAAATCATGCCTGATCGTCTTGTACTTGATGTAAAAACTTCTTCAATTTTTAATGTTTGATTTTCACTGGCATGAATTTGTTGTTGTTTTGTATTGAAATTATGATTTGTTGTCCTTGAATATATTTCTGATGATTCATTTTTTGTTTCATTTACAGCTGAAAAAGAAAAAGAAATTAAATGTTTTTTCTTTTATTTCTATATTCTTTAAAAAATCAAATGAGATTAATTAAAAGGCTATTGTTAAAACTGTATGTCACACAATGCTTACGGTGTTCAAAAAATAAAACAAGCTTGTTGCCTAGAAAAATCAGTCGAAATTTTGAATAGAATTTCATAATTTTTTTGTCTTTGGATTTCAAAAGAAAGTAGTTACTACTTACAACGATTAAACTTACTTGGCAGAATTGATTCCGATGATCGATATGGACAACGAAGAAGAGTTTCATAAACAAGACGACTTCGTTCAGCTGGACGAAAAACTTTATCAACATCATCAAAATGTTTGGAAAATCTAATTCAATTCTATATATAAAATTATATTTTTATTATATTCTACACAAACCTATAATGAAGACTTTTTTGATAACAAGCCGTAAAAAAACATTTTCCATTGTGTGGTGTAAGAAATTCTTCTGGTTTAAGACGAGTTAATTGACATGGTAAACCTTGATCAAATAAACCGGGTTTTAATGGTGATTTATTTTCGCTAAATGGTAATTTAACCTTTAATTTTTCTGCCTATGTAAATCAAATAAAAAAATTAAAATAAAAAAATTCTTTTTTTTCATTTTATCTTACTAATACAAGAAGTATTTCAAATGGTGCATGAATTTTAACAAAATATCGTTCATCTTGTTCTATTTCATCTTCATGTTCATCATGTCCTATTTCATTTTCATGTTCATTTATTGCTTGAAACTCCTTCTCAAAAAAAAAAAAAACAAGACAAACAAAACGAAATTAAATTATTTTATATATAAATTACAGTTCATTTTAGAATTAAATAATTCGGATTTTAACATTGTCTTGAGTTGATATTGCTCTATCTTTTTACAAAGTTAATGAAAAATTTCATTCGCTTTTTTTCTTCGATAGTTTCGGAGTGTTAAAGATCATTTCTAATCCACTTTGAAAAGAATATGCTTTCTCAATTATAACATAATGGACAGATAGAATAATTTCTTCTTTATCGGTTCATGCAAAGCCGAGATTGATAATGATTTGCGTTTCAAGAATAAAAAGGTTTTACTCAAGATCACTCATCAAATTGTTTTCAAAAACTGAACAGCTATCAAATATTTTCTACTGGAATTCTTTAGTCGCCTTCAACTTTGTGACAATATTTATTAACATTTCAAAGTTTTTTTTTTTCTACTAAAGTCATTATTAAAAATCATACATAAAATTTATTTTGATTATAGTATATCAATATTTTGAAAAAATTCTTTTCAACCTTTATTTTATTGGTGCTTTCATCAGAATTACTTCATGAATCCAAATAAGTCAACTGAAAATAATTTTAAGACATTTACGTAAATTCACAATAAAAGTCATTACTCATCAGCATTATTTGTGCTGTAAATGCTGTAATTATCGTCATCATTATCATTTAGTTTGTCTTCAATCTCTTTGACATAAATATCGACCTTTTTCAAAATGCTGCTTCACATTGTTTGATATGATTTATGTAACTAACTGCTGTCACTGCATCTAAGACATCATAAACTCATTCTTATGCCAAATTATTCATTTCAATCAAAGTAACCACTCGTGTTGTCATCACGTACATCTTTTTATATTGATCCAGGTTAACTCTATAGAAGTCAAGTTTACACAGATGCGGAACCAGGACTTGAACTCTTAAATATTCTGTGGTTTTACGCTGATCATCATTTAATCGTATAAATCACAACATAATTCAAGAGAGATGATCCCAAAAAGTGTTAGTTTTTGACTAAATAAATCAAAAATATGAATGTTGAAGAATTATTTCAGATATGATACAAATAAATTCTGGAATAGTTCTCTTTAGATCGGAACCGAGATCCAACAAACTAAAGTCACTGAGATTGGAAACAAAACAAAAAACTTGGTCCCTCACATATCTAGTCGAGATATACTGTCTTATTATCAAAGGGATGTAGATGGCGGCCGAACAAGACACCAACACCCACACTTGTGAGCTGCTCAGAATTTGAAAAAAAAATTTAATGAGTAGTCTTTAGTAAAATCTTCATACTTTTTGAAACATAACCTGTTATTGATCTTAGTTTTGCATGAAACAATAGACAAAATGTTGTTCTATCTGTCCATTAAATTATAATTGAGAAAGTATATTATTTTCAAAGTAGATTAAGATCATCTTCAATACTCATGATGTATCCGAGTAGTATGAAACTTGAAGGTTGAATTCAAGTAAACAACTACTATTCAAATTTCAAGTTTCTAATTTCACTAGTCTTTATTTCCACGACATCCATATCAAGACAGTGACTGTGTTCATTAGAAACTTGAAACTTGAAATTTAACTTTTTCAAGGTTCAATTTTTATTCGATTGAGTTCAAGTTTCATGTTTAACATATATGATAAATCCAAGAAGAAAAGCAACTAAAATTTTCCATCGATTTTGCAAAACAAATACCGACAGTCATTTTATTCTGAAATGAACGTTAGAATTTAATAATTAACATACCTTTAAATCATTTTCATTTTTAATATTATCTGTTGAATTATTTAATTCCATTGTTTCTTCTTCATTAATTGTATCAATTTGTATTCCATTTGTATTATTATTTTCGTTTGTATCTTTTTTTAAATGTGAACTAATGTTTTGTAAACGTATTGATACCTGTCGTTGTAATGTTGAAAGACCACGAACAAATACATGATTACTTTCATTATTATTATTATTATTATTATTATTATTATTGTCATGAACATCAACTGATGCTTCAGCTTGGCGTAAATTAAGAAGATCGTTTCTCTAATAGAAATTTTTTTGTTTTTTATTATATAAAAAAAAGAAATTTTTTTGTATTGTCTTAATTTACTTCATCAGTTAATCGTTCTTCGACAACAATGAAACCTAATTTTCTAAGACGATCTTGAAAAAATTGCCTGTATTGATCATGTTGACGTTTAAATTTATGACTTCGTCGAAAACGATTTGAATGATAACGCGTATATACAAGAATATAATCAATTGGAAGAAATTGACCATCATGATATATATATTTGGATCGATCGATTTGCATTATGCTTGTTTTATTATGATTATGATTCTAATAAAAAATAATAATAATAATAACATACAAAAACAAAAAAAAAAGAAGACAATATGAATTAATAAAAAGTTTTATCATGCAGAAAAAATCTATAAGTATTAATGACATATCGTATGAATTTTTTGAATAGATCAATCGGGAAATAAATGCATCATTTTTGACAATCATTATCATTTGATCAAATATTAATCATATAGGAGGAAACTATCTATATATATAAATATGTACATGCTTACAGAATTGATAACAACTTGATGATGATGATGATGATGATGATTGTTATTTGCATTCATTGCTCGTCGTTCACCTAGAAAATTACATTAATTGAAGTTATTTTTATTGTAACTCTTAGAATATGCTATATTCCTATTCAGAAAACAAATTGAATAAACTCATCTATAGTCATTGATTAGTTATTCTATTGAAAAACTAGTATATTACTCTCTTGGGAAAGAAAAATATTTTTTTATAACATAATAGATTATGTTGGATTCGTCATGATTTTGCGTTTCGAATGTTTTATTGAAAAACGTAAAAGAACGGATGTATCAGTAACTGTAAAATGATATTCTATAAGACAAATAATAACGATGACGATGAATAAGAACGACAAAATAGCATCATGCTAATGTAAAAACAGACGCATGAAAACAAATAATATTCATTCCATCAATCTATTCTTTCCTTGAGCATTTTCTCTTCATATTTATCAATCCTAACTATGAACGATAGTAAGAGGCTCTTCACATTTTTTTTTTCCATTCTTTAGCATTTTACATTAGATCCTTGTTTCGTATCATCATTTTTATTAATAGCTAGCTATAAAAACAGATAAGTAAAGAAACAGTCTGCTAAATGTTTGATAAAACATTTAAAAAAAAAAAAAATTTCATCTTTAACATATAATCATAAAAGTAATCAAACATTTAGTCAACAAGATTTGAAGAACTTATCGAATTCAATACAAAAGCAAACATATTTTTCTTTTCATTACAGAACTCTTACCATTCATATTATAATTTCTATTCAATGAATCAGCTGGTCTTATTTGATTTTCTGTTTGAAGCATTTTGTTTTCTTCGTCCAGGTCTTAAAGCAGACAAAAATTTGTTTTACTTTAATTCTTTTTCTCAATAATAAAAATGAAAAAGCTGCACAAGCTATAGGATAATCATAAAGATACAGGGCTGCTCCGAGTCAGCAAACATTGGGGGGGGTTGTCGTGATTTTTTCGAGGATTGTTCCGAATTTTTGTGATGCGAATAATTTTTTTTTCTAATAGAACTCAAGAAAAAAATCTCATTTTCGCTGGGGAAAACGAAAATTTTCAATTATTGGGGAGTTGTCACAACCTCCTATCGGGCCAGCCCTGTAAAAGTAAATGAGTAAATTCATAGGCAATTGATTAAAGAAGCATTATTAACAAGAAAGCAAGATTTATTTTTTAGTAGAATACCCAAAACGGAATGACATGAATAAAATGATTCGTAAGAATTGTGAAGATCAGATATATCATGCCGATCCAATTCTGGAAAAATAAATAATAGATAAGAAGCAATACATATCCGTAAAATATAAAAATTTTCTTTTGTTTTCTTTTCAAACATTAAAAAAATTTTTATTATTTATTTTATTCGAAAGTAAAACAAAGTTTTCTCAACACATACGTTTTGATTCGACTTCTGGAATTATTGTAGAAGTTTTATTAAATAAAAATGAACCTAAAATGTTAAAATAATTATATTAATTTCAAAAAATAATTGAAAATATAATTAATTTACGTAAAATATTCATCACGTCAATATGTCATCATCATGAGAATAGTTTCTATATAAAGATTGACATAAATTATATAAATAATAGATGCGTCAAGAAAAAAAAATCTACGATTTAGTATTCTGATTGATGAATCATTAACAAATGAATCGACAATAAGTATGAATATATATGAACAAACAAGTGATATATATATATCTAGTTAGTGACTTTTCTTTTTATAGTTAAAATGAAATTAATAGTCATGATCGAATGCGACAGATGCTACTATTCATTTTCTTTCAAAAAAGAATGGTCAAGTTATATTTGTATAAGGATAAAAAAATATCAGAAGATGGCGTAAAACGATGGCTAAAAACTGTATCAGCAGATATTTTCTAGGGTTTTTTTTTTTACTACATTATTTTCGAAAGAAAAAATAATTATATTGACAATTTAATGGCTTTATTGAATTCAGTTATTTGTGTAATCTATCAAGACAAACAAACAATATTCCGATCATCGGTTCTGATTTCATTACTATGTATTATCGAGAGGAACTAAACATTCGGAAATACTGAGTTTTTGATGAATATTTAGTGATATAATTCTAGTAGAGTACTTGACAAATGTACTCTGACACCATTATATTACAGGTAGTTGGTTCGATATCCTACTGAGAATCGTCCTATTACATGAGTATTGAGCTGAGTACTTAGTAAATATCTGAAGACTCGTATTGGACATGTTTTCATGGATTCTCTAACTGACTATTCAAAAGCATCACATATTCAAGTGCTAATTGGCTAATCAAAAGTACTGAAAAACTAAGCAACAGATTCTTCTGAACTCAGTACTTGCCGTAAAGAATTGTTCGGTTTCAACAAGTATATCGTCGGACTACTCACAGAAAGAATAAGCATACCTAAAACCATCATTACTTTGTTTAACGACTGATTATGTTTTCGTGTCACTAGATCTAGAGTGTGTAATGATAACTGATGGTTACACTTCACTTACTTTATTTTCTTTCTTTCTTTCTTTTTATGACCTCTTCCTTGTAGTGTTGATTTTGACGATGTATGTCTCCTTTTCTCTTCTGTTTTATGAGTACTAGAAAAGGATGTGCTCGTAGTGATATAAACACGACTGAAGTGATTAACTAATTCAATAAACATTTGTGCCACGGGTGATGACAATGCTACTCTTCCAGTTCGTTGCAGATCAATAAATAATCTCAACAATTGATGAACTTGTATTTTATTCGTCTCGTTGCTTTGCTTAAAGATGTTACTCGGACAATTTACTTATTACTCCGCTCTCTACTAGTTTTTCTTTTCGTCATTACAACACATATATTTCTTAAACGTGAATGAATGCCTCTGAATATACTTGCAATGAGCGTTTTATTTCTTCGAACTAATAACTTACCATATCATTTGTATCTATACACATTCTGCCTCGAAGTATGAGTGCAAATAAATCAAATATATAAGAATCGGAAAATGTCATTCACTTCTAATTAGCGATGAATTGCGTATCAAATATATTTCAATGAGTGATTGATCAAGTTTGATGGAAGTAGTATACGTTGGGATAATGAATCAAAGTAGTTACTAGAGAAATTCACAGACTGATCGAGTGATAAACGGCCGATCATTTGAACGAAAATATCTGCATTGAACTGTCTTAAACAGCATTTTGTTTCGCACGTCATTTTAGACTTTTAGGATCAAGAAAATATGTATTCAATATTGATACCAGTAATCATTTATTAGAAAGGATAAAATATTTCTTTGATTTTGTACGTTGTATGACAGCTTGACTTTGATTCATCGAACAGGTGAAATTTTTGAAAAAAAAAAAGAAACTATTCAGATCGTGTATTCATTTTACTGAAGGTTATTTCATGTTGAATTTCAATTATAATTGTTTCTGTAGATATGATACGATTCAAAAGGGCTTATCCTTCCAATATAATGATTTTTAATAGATAAAATTTAGAAATTAATTTTTTCTTAAATACGAACTCAGTTTGCAACAACAATATCCAAAATTGACACGTAGAAATTTCTAAGTTATCAAGGGTACCATCAGTTCTGTCATTCATAATAGTCAAAGTAATGCGTTTTCTATAATATTTTTCATAAGTACGCATTTCATCTTAATATATTTCTTCATTGATATACGCATAAATATAAAAAAAATATATCGTGTTTTTTTTTACATTATTTTAACAATCACGGAACTGTGGAACAATGGTAGAGAATCTTTTTGTTCCTCCGCGTCCTCGAACAATATTATCTTTTTCAAATAAATCTATACATAATTCATTATTTTACTCATTTTTTCATATTGTTTTTCTTCACATATTTGAATGAGATTCATATGAAGATTTGTGTTTTTTGATTAGTTAGAAAAGTTTTGAACCTCTACAAATATAGTTTCGGTTTTGTTTTGCTTTACTTTAAACACGCAAAATTCTCTTTATGAAAAACTATTGACTGATTTTAAAAATACACTTAGAACCTAATTAATTTTGTCATGTTCATCTTGATTTTCTAATGAAATCAGAAAAGTAGCATATCTTCTAACAGCAAACGATAATAATTTATTTTACATTTGTATGAATGTCATGCTTTCTTTTTGAGATTGTACAAAATAAAGAAAATATAAAGTTTCTCTATTTGCAAATATCTAATAATTACAGTTGATTATATTTCTTTCATGTACACTTAAATAAATGCTTATTATAGTAAAATGATTGCCTGTTCATTGAAAGGTCAACAAAATGTTGAGAAGGTCAAATTACAATTTGAACTCGAGAAAAAAGAAAATCGACAGAAAAGTACGAATTCAAGCGAGAGAAGTACAAAAGATAAGGACAATAATCGATTGATTGAGGATGATTCATGAACTATTGCGAAAGACAATGTAAGAGACATATTTTGAAATAGAAGTATTATTCTTATTCAATGGCATGAAAAAGAAATAATATAGCATGAAATAAAATAGACACTGGTGATAATTGCATCTAGATATAACTGAACAGAATATGCAGACTGCATGAGAAAAAATGATTGCCACATCGCTTGTTTTGCTAATAACTCTACACAAATAAATTACAAAAGTTTGAGTGTTTTATTTTTTTGTTAAAAGATAAGCCGTTGAATTCTCTGCAAAAAATAAATATTTGAAACCTGATTAGCTTGTTCTGATAACTTTGTATAAAACTAAAAATGAAGACTTGTATAGCGAACTTTGAATGCTCGACCATAATCTAACTGAAAATTTTCATTAATTAATTCTGATAATTTCTTATGAAGGTCAACGTTAAAATGTGTAATTTTCTTCAATCATGGAGTAAAAAAAATGTCCGTAACATTGTTTAATTTTACGTGTATATACCCACAAATAACTGGTAAATCGTTCAATTATTATTTCAAAAGTAGTCAAGATATATCAATTTTCATAGAAAATAAAAATCAAGTTTTATTTCAATAAAAAACTATCGTTAGATACATAAGTTTATTCGTAAAAAAGATATAGAAAAAAAAAAAGTTTTTCATCTTGTTTTCATAAGAGATGTCACAGACGTGTTCTAAACAATAAAACTTCATGATGATATTTTATTTCTAATAATATAAAAGAAAAGAACGCACCCACATGTCTTTATCTCTATGTAAATGATCTATCACGTCTTTCAAATTACAAAAAGACACTAAACATTTAAGAACACATCAATATCTTTATGTCTTATATCTTCATAAATGATTAGTTCTTTTACTCAGAACGAATAATGATCATATGATTCTGCAAAAAGTCAAGGTAACTGACTTAGATATTGATGTAAGTATTGAGAAATGGCAAGCTCACAATGAATCATCTATTATATATACGGGGTGGATCATGAATATCACAACGGTTAAAAATGAAATTTTTTCGCATCAGTTCAACCGAATGGGTTGATATTTTTAGTTAGTGGTAGAAGTTTATTCAAAAGTTATTTTTTCATACAGATAAGGTAAGTAAATACGACTATCAAGTGTTATTTTTAGTATCATGAAAGTAATTTTACATGTTATAAAGTAAGAAAAAAAAAATGCGTAATATTCTATAAATAATTTTTAGTTGTTATCCAAGAGAAAAAGAAGAAGAACTCAAAACAAATTTTACGCATAATACTATATTGATGTAAATTGAGCAAATTTTCAGAACTAATAAGTTTCAAAATCAATGGTTATGAAATTTCGAATTTTCAAATATAGAAATACTGGTTTTTGCAAGGAAATTGATGTAAAGTAAGCTACAATAATGTGTTTTACTTATGGAGGATGAGTTTAAGTATTTAAACTAATCACTAGCTTTGAAAATTTGCTCTATGTGTATCAATATAGTTTGTTTTGACTAATTATTATTATTCTGTTTGAATCTGTGAGCTCCATATCTATTTTTCTTACTTAACAATAGATATAATTTCTTTAGTAAGATTAAAAATATGATTTGTCAACAGTATTTGTTTTCATTATTCGTTTAAAAAAAAAGACCTTGAAATAAGCTGCTGCCATCAACCAAAAAGTCAACCCATTTAAATAAACCTAAGTGGAGATGTTTCAAATTTTTATTGCACTGCTATTTATGGCTCACTCTCTATGTCTAATATCTCTAGGTCCTACCTTAAAGAATTATTAGGTTTCATTTTTGCTATAAAAAAAAAAAAACTAGAAGCATTATAACACGTATTGCATTGTTATTTTAAACGAGGCAAATTGTTTAGTCTATTAAAAGAATCATTTGAAATGATTTAGTTTTTAGATTGAATTATGAATTCGTTACATATACTCATTTTTATCCTCAATTCAATGTGTGTTCTTGTTTCGTATGGTATGCGTATAAATAATAAATCTTTATTTTTAATACGATCTATATATCAATTTGTAAGATGCAGCATCAATTTCGAAAGATGAGCAACCTCTTATTATGCGTGGTCGTGTTACATTTCTTCCTAATATCAAAATTCCGACTGAATCTGGTGCTAGATTAACTGTTGCATTACAAGATACATCACTTGCTGATGCTCCAGCAAAAACTATTGCAAGATCAATTAGCAAAGCAGTTCGATTTCCAATGACATTTACTATTAAATATTCACGTTCACAAGTTTCAGAAGGACGTACCTATTCACTTAGTGCGACTGTTAGAGATAAAAATAACGAATTGCTATACATCAATGATGCACATATTAGAGTAATACCCGTAGGTCCTCGTCGTACTAAGTTCATTGATGTACCTGTTATACGTGTTAAACGTGAGCAAAGAAATTTTTGATAAAAGTTTATTAATATGTGTTCATATATTTAGAAACAAATCCTGTAGTAAACAAAGAACGATGGCCTGAGTTAGTTGGTAAGAATGGTCGAGAAGCAGTGAATATAATCAAAAAAGAAACAGGTAAAATTTATTAAAAAATATCGATAAATTTATTTCAAAGATTAAACTAGGTTTTACAAACGTTTTGATAGTCAAAGAAGGATCACCGATTACATTAGATTATCGAACGGATCGTGTTCGTGTTTTTGTTAATGATAAAGGCATTGTTGTAAGTGTTCCAACAATTGGTTGAATGACAATTTTGAAAATTCAACTATGAACAATAATAAACTAAATTTTTTTCATTTGAATATTTTTATTTTTTCATCAAAATATCTTTTTACAAATGAAAGTTAAAAAAACGAAATAAAACTGATTCACATTATATTAACCATTTATTTTCAAAAACAAGGCAAATCTGTTACAAGATTTGACAGTGTTCTAAACATCTGAACGAAAAAAGTAACATGCATAGCTCTTCAGCAATTCATAGAATTTCAATGTTTCTTTTACAGTTTCATCACATATTCACTAAAGTTTTCAAATAAAATATTTTCACATAAAGAAGTCAAAATTCAAATAATTTTACTGTTTGACTAATGCGAGTCAGTTACTATTATAAAATAAAGGCTACAAGTCGAATTTAGCAAAAAAAAAATTGCCACTTGAATTCTACATTTGAATCACATTTCAACAACTTTGTGAAATTGGTACTATCGAAAATCGATCATATTCTGAAAGACCTACAACAATTACTGAAGAAAAAGTCAATGAAATTAAGAATGTTTGTGAAAATGAGTTTAATCATTACCACAAACAACAATGTATCAGATTGTGTCGAAATATTTCTCATTAAAACCATATAAGGTACACTTTGTTCAACAGCTTTACGAAGAGTAGTTACATAGACTGAAAATTTGATTTTGACTGATTTTTGCATGTGTTTTTAATTTCATCGATGTTTTCTCCAGTAATTACTCGATGGTCATTGATTTTTGACAGTACTGATATCAAAAGCTCGCTGAAATATGTTGCTAATGCAATTTTTAGTTAGCATGTTTTTTTTCTAAATTCAATTTGTAGTTACTGTTTAATAATGCTGGTCGGGAAAGTAACCAAATTTTGAAAGTGAAAATTATAAATCTTTCTAAATCCATGGTGAAATTTTTGTTTTCTGAGTTTTGATCAATACGATGTAATATAGTACACATTTACATAGCATAACAATAAGGATTAGGGTGAAAACTGTGACTAAACAGGATTTAGATTTTCGACATCCTACTTTTTGACATTTAACAATCAAATCTGCTAACCTATTCGAATCTCATCATGAGTAAAACTATTTTAATTCTAATTTCTTTAGATGAAGACATTTTATCTTAAAAATTTAATGAATCTGTAATCAAAGTGTAAAAACAATATCTAAATCCCTTGATCTTCTGAGAAGCTATTGAAGTTTTCTTTCGTTCAAACTATTGGAACACTCTATATAAACTGGAAGAGTATATATTACATTCTTTCACCAAAACATGTTACTTTTTTCTAACAACTTTTGATTAAAACGTTCTAAATCAATATTTGCATCATAATCATTTTATAAAGTTGCAACACGTGCAAAAACTAAACTTATGACGTTAAATACGCAGTTCTTAGATATTTAATCTTACTAGGTAAAAATTGTATTGAACTAGAAACATTTTATGAATGTGTAATTTCCTATTCAATATACAGTTTTTTTCTATGTTAATCTGTATTGTTGCAAAATGTTGATTTAGTTAACGTGTTTCTCAATCAGTCTATGATGTTTCTTTTTTTTTTGAAGCATTTGTTTTGATCATAATGGATGATTTATGTATTGAAATAAATATAATAAGTATTTGCAGAAATTCACCGAAATCATACAATATTTTTTTCTATTTTGAAAACATTTCTCTATTGCAATCTTTTCTTTCACAAGTTATGTATAAAGATAAAAAAAAAAGAAGTTAAGAATGATAGATCGATGAAAAAAACTGCAACTACCAATTCAATCAAGAGATAAAAGATGAATTCTAACCCGAAAGCATGTTACAACGACGAAAGAAGAGTTACTAATGTTAAAATCTCTTTGACTTATTTTCGAGAAATCATATTTATTAAAAACCTATAATAATAATAAATGAGACACAATAGAAGGCTTCCCCACAAAATTTGTAGGCTTATAGGCATCATCATTGAAGATTCATAGGTCTTCCAATGCGAAAAGATATTTAGTTATTTTTGTAATTTTATAATTATTTGTACACATCGATTTAACTTTCATATTAAGCATTCAGATGTTGATCAGAGAGCATAAATGTAAAAAAAAGCGCTAGTGTTAACTATTCCATGTTTTTTTTATTTTTCAGCGTAAACAACAATCAGCAGTAAAAGCGGCATATGTTCGAACCGTTATATGATCATGCAGTATCTTCCTGCTATAAGCATGTCTTTATTACTTTCCTCAGTAACTTGATTATGGGTGAAGAACTGAGTATGAATTATACACATATATATGCTGGTGATGTCTCAAACATAACTCATATTTATTTGTATTTACTGTAAACACTTGAAAATCAGAAGACTTTTACTACAACACCAACTACCGATACAATAAACATAAATGGCACTTGAATGTATGAATGAAAAACATAAATAATATGAAACATGGATAAATATATCCTCATATTCAGTATAGCAACACTTTGATTAAATTTTCGTTTAAGTCAGTGATATGAAATCATTTATTTCATAGGAAGAAATATCTATTTTTGACTAAAACTCAATATATGAAGAAAGGACGAAGAAAATATTATTATCTGTTACATGACAAAATATTGATTAAGTTTTTCTTGTACTATATACTATATCAACAGGATGTGACATTCTTTCTGTTTCTTAATGGCAATTCCATTGTAGTCATCAATGGTATATGCTCTCTTGCCCGTCGATCTTTGAAAGAAGGTGGCGCTCCAGTAGACATTGTTTATATCGATTCTCATTAGATTGCAGCAAAGAAAGGCACCGTCAGTAGTGTATTGTTTTATGTTGAATTTGGTCTATTTGATCTGATCGATCGAAATTTGGACTTGAACGAAGCTCGACTTGTTGTTACTCATACATCAGGCCCATTGAAACTGGGTACCAAGATAGAACTTAAGTCTTATATGTAGCTGATAACTTTTCAATTGTGTAGTGATAAAGCAGTGAATGATGAAAACTGTAAATATAATCAATTTTCCGTTCTTTCTCATCAATATCTTGGTGTTCGTTCGGATACATGTCGACTTGGATATGCTTCAACATCAAACAATCATGTTTTTGCTACAACATGGGTGAGTAAAAGATTCTTGTTTTTGAAAAAAAGAAATTTTTTTGAAAAGAAGACAATAGATAAGAGAAAATAAAAAAGCATAAGTTTTTTAATCTTCTCAATAAGTTTTGTTATTAATATTCAAGAACAAATCGTTCCAACTAAAAAAAAATAACGTGTTATTTAGTGTCTTAATTACATCCGATGTGAAACTTTCTTGATAGAAAAAAAAATCACTTTTCAAAAATCCTTTCAGATCAACTTAGACAATTTTCACAAGAAAAATTTCTTTTAAGTTCAAATATATTTCATATAATTCTGATCATTTATATATATTCTATAAATATACATTCAGAAAATGTTTAGCTGCTCGAAACAACTTAGTAATATATATTGTTTCTAGAAACTTCCAGATGTATCGGATCCATTTAATGAACAATATCAAACTTTAAATTATATACCATCTGATTATACTGTTCTTTATTCAGTAGCAATCAATTCATCAGAATCAAAAACTAATTAACATATAAATGAACTAAAATCAACCATCAACACTGTACTTCGTGTACTCTTTTTTGGTTCATATCCACCTCGTCGATGTAGTTTGACTAAATTCTTGGCAGATTTAACAGAACTTACAATGTTGTTGCAGTTGATGAAGAGAACGTAGATCTATCAAGTCGAAATTATTCTGACAAGGTTATATTTCGTCTCAATCAATAAAATCGAGATGCATACTATATAGTAGCTGATATAGTCAATTCAAAAGCATATGATGTTTTTAATTTGCAACATGAATTTAATCTCTATGGTGGAATGGGGTTGGTGAATATGTTGTAAATGTTTTGGCTTCTAGAAGAAAATCTATAATCACCACATTAAACACGTAAATCATCCGAAAATTGATGCTATTCATACTCATATGTGAAGTTTCTTTTAGAATTCTTTCAAATACAAATACCTTTTATACGAGTGTGACATTTGCTATTTATGCTACATCAACTCGTACCATCGTTTAATCCGAACATGATCGTCAACATCTTATTGATATTTATGGAATGGATGGAGAAAAGATTTCTGTTATACCACATGGTGTGCCTGATAGTCCATCTGCTCATTCATTAGCAGATGCCAAAATAAAATTAGGTCTTGAAGCAAAATATGCCAACGATAACTACATTTGGTTTATTATATAGAGATAAGAACATTCAATTAACTTTAAAAGCAATACAAATAGTTGTGCAATCAGTTCCAAATGTGATGTATTTAATTATTGGTTAAACTCATCCACTAATTAAAATGTCTGAAGGAGAGTCTTATCGTTAAGAACTTGAAAACAATGTAATATGCATATGGTTTTTACTAACAATATTCGTTTTATTAATAAATATGTCGATATGACAATGAACTTCTTGATTATCTTGGTGCTACTGGTATTTTTGTAACACGTTATATTATTGAAGATCAATATGTGAGTGGTATACTTTCTTGATCAGTAGTCTTAGATAAGGGTGTCATTTCAACACTCTATATATATGCCAATGACTTATTAGACAATGGTTGTGATTTCCTAATTCCATTTAATGATCATGTCTCGTTAAATTCATTGATCATTAATCTACTGCAAAATGATAATGTACTCAATACAACTCGTTGAAATGCCTATGCATTCGGTCGTCAAATGATCTGATCAGTTGTAGGTACTAGATTTTATGAAAGCTGTCGTGAACTATTAGTTTCTTTTGTTTGAAAACTGGTCATCACGTGATTGAATGTAAAAAAGACTATGATTTATACAATAAACATTAACCAAGATTATTTTTTCTTTTTAATTGCTCGCAATTTTTTTTATCTCATAACTAACATAGTTTTATAGATTTTCAAATCTATTTTCATGTTACACTCTAACACTTAGATTTCGTAACTGCTAACCATTTAGATAACATGTATTCAAAAGTAGATTTTATCACGTTTCTTTTCACATACATGCTGTCTTTATATAATAATTTTATATTTAGAGGTTCACAGTCATAAATCTTGTCAACAAAAGTAAAATGTTTTAATTATAAGTGTTATCATTACGAACTTTTGTTAATATGGGTCTGAATTCTCTATAGAAAAAACTTTTTCTTCATCAATATCTGTCTTTTGATACAATTCGTACTATGAATCGAAGTTAAATTTCTCAGTACTGATTATTGTTTAATGAATAAAAGAAAGCTTCTGAATCTCTATTGACTGTTCATTGTTTTGTTTTCTTTCAATTTTTCATATTAAACTTAGGTTTGTATTGGTTCAAGTTCTCAAAACGTTGACTATACATTGGATATGTTTCGTCTGGCTCTGATTAAACAGTATATGTGCTTTTTCCTGTTTGAGATCTTTATTTCTTTTTTGTCCTCTGAAGTTCATTGCAATGGAGAACAGAACCTGTTAAAACAGAAATTTTCTCGCAAAAAATAAACAATAAAATTTTCTTATCTGTACGTGAGTATGTGAATTACAAATACGTAAAAAACAAAATTATTTCTTTTTCGACTATGATCAATGAAAGTATTTCAAAAAATATTTTCTTTATTGCAGTATATATTGCAGTTAGACTTAAAAATGAATATGTACAATATGTTGGAATATATGATAAATATGAAAAGAAATAGTCTTAGATATTAGAATATAATGATATCGAAGAGAAGAGAAAAAAAAAACATTTATTTATAGTATTTGAAGATGACATTAATTTCGATAAATAGTTGAATCTCTGAGTCTTATATTAATAAAATATTCAAAAGACTTTAAAATTGAACAATTTAGGAAATCGGATCAAGCATAACTAATCATATTAATGAGCACACATCAAAATGCTTCATCATCATAAAACACTTCATAAATTCACAGTGATTATATGGACTATCTATTGACTTTTTAAATAAAATTTTTGTTTTCAATATTGATTTTTCAATGTAGTATGTCATGCTGTTAAAAATTCTCTCTATAATGAAACATGAGTAAATTATTAATGTTATTTAAATTTTTTCGAATTGTTCAAGACAACATAATTAATGAAAATGTCAATTTTTCATGGGCAAATGTATATAACAGTACAAAAAAAATACAAAGTTTAGAACTTTCGAAATTTTCATTTCACATTACAAATTAAAAATTTGTGATCATACACTCACTCATCATGTTTATGTTAAATGCAAGCAAACAGACTATAATTATTTTCGCTTTCAGTTTTGAAAGATATTACTATGACAAATCATTGCTTACATAAATTCCGCTCTATGTCTTCATAGAAACATATATTTTGATTAGAATTAAACCCTCACTTCTTAATATTAATGTAAAAAGTATATTTCTTTTATTCTATCAACCACACATGAGAAGATATATTCCATTCTAACGCATTTAACTTCTCTGTAATGTTTTTTGTAATTGTATGTGTAAAGACATTCGTGATATGACATATTGTTATTTGACAAGGAATTAGGGGCTTAGTATAATAAGGATCGAAAGATATATGTTCGTTACTGACTAAACATAGTCGCCATGACGAATTAGATGCGTTAGAAATGACAGTTTCCAAATATGAAGCAGCTTTTCGCTGAAGGAAAGTAGCATAAGAAAAATAATTGTGATTACTGTTGCACCGTTGATGCTTATCACTATTAAATGCATTGATCTCGAGGATCTTACTTTACTGCACTCAGTTTTCTATAAAAAATTTATTGATTTCGAACAGAATCTCGCAATTTTTGTATAATTTGTTTGACTTTTCGGAATGAAATTCAAACATATAGTTATAGAACATAGAGCTTCGTGATACATGTCTCAAGTATAAATAACATGTGCTTCCATGCGACATGCCGTTTGCTAACTTATTCTGACGGACACTAGATTACCTAATTATAAGATGTTGCTCAGGCAGATCAATGTTTAGATCAACCCACTATATTTCATCCTTGCAATAGTTCGTATTCAAATATCAACTCATCATAAATCTCTAGGACGTAATGTAATAAGCAATTATTTAGAAGATGTAATGCAAAACATTACTGCTATTCTTACAGATCCTATATGATTCAATTAACTTATTGTGATGTGGTATGTGTACAAAAAATTAATGTTTCGAATTGCTTCTTAATGATAGAAAAAATTGTTTATGAAAATATTACCAAGAGGTAATTATTGAAGTTCGATCAATACATATGTTGCGATGATGAGCATATGTAGATAGTAGAGAAATCTGAAGTCTCTCAGAGCAACACTTTTTAATATTAATACATAATGTTATTTGAAGTTATAATTCTAACATTGAGTGTTACATACAGACTTTAAATATCTTTATGTAATTACTATTTATATAGGTTTAGTTAATGATTCTTATATAGAAAAATGGACACAACAAACTTTCTAGTGGTTTGGTAGTCTTATTGGAGACATTGAAAACTACATGCTGTTTGACCTTTTTTTTTTCATTTCCTAAACCTATCTTCACTCACGCGAAGTGCTGTATGTGTGTGAATCACATAGATAAGTGTGCGTGACTGTGCTGAAAGTAAAAATGTATCGACGTGTCGCTTAAAAACAAAAGTAACAATTGACATTGTCAAAAAATATTCAGACGACAAAAATGAATAGATAAGAACTCCGTGAATTAAGGTGTATAGCGCCCTCTAGTTCATTCTATTTTTTTAAAATTCAAACAGAAAAAATACTCTCACGTAAACAGGTGAAGAAACTTAAATAGTTGTTTATATTAAATATGTTATATGATTGATTAAATCGATACATTTGATTAACGATTGGTGAATTATTTTATTTAGAAATTACACTAACAGAAGAAAATCTATTGTCTTATTCTTTTTTTGTTACTTTTTTTACTGTTATTATTTTTATAGATATATTTTATTATATAATTTTTGTTTAATTAACAATTAAAACTATTACTTATTTGAAAATTTTCTATCATGACTGAAGGCTATGGTTTTCTTCAATTCTGTATGTGTATTTTTTTTTTTCGGTTAAAATAATTTGCTTATTAACTTTCATATTTTCATATAGTGTTTAATAAGTATTCCGAGACAGAATATTTAAATGAAGCTTGGATACCAATAAATGAAATTCTAAAACAATTTCTTCAAAATTCTATTGAAAATTTTAAACCAACATCATATCAAGCTATTTATTGGTATATAAAAATTGATAGAGAAAAATTTTTAAAATAAATTTCTATTTTAAATATTTTAGCAAAGTATATAAAAGTACATGTAAAGGTTATAAAGAACGATTATTTAATGATTTAAAAAATCTTGTTACAGAACATTGTTGTAATTTGAAAATACAATTAGATGAAAATGTAAGATTTCAAAATTATTTTATTAACTACAAAATTATTGAAATTATTATTAGATAAAAAGAATAATCGATGATTGTTCAAATGTTCATATGAATGTTTTCATTNTGTTGTAATTTGAAAATACAATTAGATGAAAATGTAAGATTTCAAAATTATTTTATTAACTAAAAAATTATTGAAATTATTATTAGATAAAAAGAATAATCGATGATTGTTCAAATGTTCATATGAATGTTTTCATTCTTCAATTTACTGATTTTCTTCATCGATATCATCGAGCTATTCAAGCTATTGTTCCACTATTTGTAAGAAATATTTCTAGACAAAATTTCAGTTTTTTTTTTACTTTGATTATATTTTATTTTTAGCATTATCTTGTTAGTGTTTTCTTTTTTTTGTATTAAAAGAAATTATATCAAATTTATTATTTTTATTAATCAAGGATGTCGCTTATGTTAGACCAAAAATGCGATCAACTATTGAACATGAATTATTATTTCTTTATAAAACAATTATTATTGAATATCATATTAATCATGTCTTTGGTAAATAATTAAACATTTCAAATTAATTCAAATCAAAATATTTGTTCTTTTTTTCAGCTGTACTTCGACAGCTTATTAATACATCGGATAGACCATCTATGGAAAGAATTGATTTATTATTGCGTTTAATACATGATATCACACCAGGTACATACGTTTGACTTGTATGGATTTTTTTTTATTAATAAAAAATTATTTTAAATAGAATCTGTTGTAACACAACGTGATTTATTTAAACGATATTGCAATGGTGAAGATGTGCTTAATGAAATAATGTCTAATGAAGAAGATATGATAACATCAGCATCGTTCGTATTTCAATAAATATATTGTTAATCTTATCTAATCAGTCTTTTCTAGACGAACGGCTTCAAAGCGATCACTTGACGACTTACCAGACGAAGAAGGTGAAAAAAAGCAAATATTCTTTCACTGCTATCGTCAGTATGAGGAGTGTCAGCAAAGTTTGACTTTACAGTGATGTACTTAATAAGAAAATATGTTCTGATGTAGTAGGTGTGGGTTCGATGCTATCTTTTGATAATAAGTTTGATCGGACTGAAATGTAGAAAAACTGAAAAGAATTCGTACTTTCAGACGGTTGTCGCCGAAATAACGATTTTCTTCCAAGAATATTTTCATAGGATCAAGCAATATCTTATTTTTGAATTTTGATTAAGGTCTTAATTAAGCTTGACTATATACGACATATCAATGTTTTGAAATGTGCAATACAACTTTTCCACATAAGCATCTTCTTATACTGGATAGTAGACACCTATTTACAGTCCCATCAGCTATAACAACACCTTGATAAACAATCATGAAATACAGAAAAGGAGACGGACCAATCATGAATCTTTAAAAGAAAAAAAAAACAATATTAGAGAATAGTAACAGTTCGTAGCTTAAACATCTCGCTGTCTTTATGTTGATACCTAGTAATATCAAATCATGTTAATTTACATCTGATTAAAAAAAAATTGAATTAATTAATTGTTGAAGAGAGGACTAGGATCATCTTGTGCAGTCGACAAGCGATTCAAAATTTTAATATTTATAGGTTGCAGAAAATAAACTGAAAACTATACAATAATGAATAACTTCTCAAAAGGAGCACTTTTAGTCAATTTCAATGGTATTCACTTTAGAGAAGTTTTACTTTACATTTCAAAACACTTATATCTAAGAAATATAACATTCACAAAATTCTGTAATTTTTACATAACAAAATCGAATTCAAATCTTGATGTCAGTGAAGTTTCAAGTAAAAAGTCGTACACACGATTTTGTTGACTATAGATCTACATATAACGAAAAGATGGTGTCATAATGGCATAAACATTTGAATATGCTCCATCATTAGACGGAGATGAGTTTATCTCCAGCGTTTTTTGAATATACGAACTTCTCTAAGCCAAGGTCTCTATCGCTGATAATTTCAGGATATATAGAATAGCTTAACATACATGTAACATATAAATATCAGCTCTAGAAGAGCTCATTATCTCGTGATACACTCTCTTTATTTTTACGAAATCATGTCTCTAATGAATGATTCGGTTCAATATCACATATTGGTTTTATTATATAAAAATCTTTATTTATTTTTCTTTAGATCAACCTTCAGCGAAACGTACAACGAATATGATTAAATCTCCACATACAGATAATTAAAATTTTGTATTTTAATATTCATGTATAGTTGTTATATTTTTCTTGACATATGCAATAGTAATGCATGATTTTGAAACTTATGAAAATATTCTAGTTTGAAGAAAAATAAAATAAAATTTTGCTTGATAAATTTTTTTTTTTCTTCTATTTACCTTTTTATAAATCACACTTTTAAAATAATATGATCTTGTTTAACTTTTTTGTCGATGATAGGATAAATCGATTCATAGAATTTTTGCATTTGTGTAACAATGATATACTTGACGAGTAAATCTTCACTCATATTTCAATTTTTTTTTTTTCTTTGAATCTTTCCAGAGAGAAACAAAAGTAATAATTAATGCATTCATTAATCGATTGTTACTTTTCAATGAATAGAAAAGAGTAAAAATATTTTTTTCTCATATGCATGTAATTTAATATCGTGCTGTTTTTTATTTCTTCGGAACTAATTATCGTTAAAATTAGTGAGAAAATCGTAAAGTAATATTTATTAAATCACATAGTAGACATATTTTTATCTATATAAATAATTCCATTTATCTAACAAAAAATCGAAATAGTAAATTTCGACATCGATTTCGTTATTAGAAGTCAAATACAAAATATTAAAATTATGAATTATTTTAGTTTGTCTTTTTTATGTTCGTTTATGAATAAATTGAAAAAAATATTAAAATAATTATGATTATTTGTCTTAGTGAACTACTGCCCTCTGAGTCCAGTTGCGAGTATTATTGGAAAGGGAATTTTTCATGTAATTTGATTGCACAACGATGACTTACTTACGTTTGATAGAAAGCGAGAGGAAGAAAGAAGAAACAAAGGCATATTTTTTTCATTCATCTTGTTTATTGTGTTGTTTTTGTGATAATGAAAATTTTCTGAATCTTCATCAATCCGTGATTTAAGATATAAAAACTCACAATGGCAACGGCTATGTCAGCAAATTGTTTGATTTCAGTATGTTTTAATTAAAAATCTAAGAATTATTATCAATGACTTTTTCTAGCCGGAACCATTATTAGAACAATTCAATTGCCCAATATGTCTAAATATAATGAAAGATGTTTGGGTAACAACATGTTTTCATCGTTTTTGTGAAGATTGTATTAAAGGTAAATTAGAAAATATAAATGAATAGTAAATTTGATTTTTGTTTGTCTATGTTAGAGTCTATTAACACAAATCATCGATGCCCATTGTGTAATAAAGATTTACAACAAGATAATATTCAACGTGATGCTCAGTACAATACATTACTTGGTTTAGATCTTTGTTTTTTTTTTGTTTCTTTATTTAACAGTCATAATTTATTTGTTCAGAAGCTATTGACAAAGCCATTCAGAATGCTGAAGGAGAAAAAGCGAAATCATTTGCCAATCAAAGTAAATGATTTTAAAATTTATATTTATAATCAATTCTTGTTTTTCTTTTTTTTGCTTTTTCATTTTAGTTGTTACTCAAATAGGCGATAATTCTGTACGAACAATTCTTGAAGAACTTTTTCGTGGTATTTTTTTTCTTTTGATTTTTATTTATTCTGTTGAATTTTTTTGTATTTTGATATATATTAGATACACTTGTAACTTCATTGGCAAATCATTTAACAAGTGAAAATGATATGCGAAGTCGATATAAACGTAAAAAAGGTGAAATTGAATCAGCATATAATCAAGCCTTAGTTGAACTTCAAGAAAGAAAATTACCAAAAGAACGTAAGATTAAATAAATTTTATTTTCATCAATGTATTATTTTTCTATAGAATATAAAAGAGAACTTGATGAAAAAACTGCTCAATTTCGTCAAGAAATCAATTCACTCGATGAAGAAATTCGTAATGTTCAAATACTTTTTATTCAAGCATATAAAAAGTCAACTATTATAGAACTAATTTTAAAACAAAAAAAAAACATATTTTACTTTTTGTTTTAGTCATCTTGAAGAGCATGTATCAAATTTTGGTGCTGTTTCAACACAAGTTCGAGTGACATTGTGGAAAGGAGATGATTTATATACTAATAAAGACAAACAATTTCCAATAAAATTAATGCGTCCTGAAGATAGGTAAATAGATTGGTGGGGATACAATAGAAATTGAGTAGAACTTTGTTCGTTATTTTTTCTATGAAAGACGATCTAAAAGGAGTGTTGAACTAGAGGGATAATAATGTGGACTTCCTCCTCAAGATCGTGACAGATGCTGATCAGAGAATAAATGTAAAAATCTCGAAAGACAAAATTCTGAACAAGGAAAGTCCTGAAAAAAAAAACTCGAATTCCGAAGTATCGAATAGAGAAGGATTTTGAATAATTAAAATTCTCAAAATTGTACCACTTAGTTAGTTTCATGAAAATATTCCTATCCCTCGAGAATTTTTCTATCATTTTTCGTCCGTAGACTCTTAAGGATGTTGGTGTGGATTTGTAGGTGAGAATGTGTAAAGAGATTTTTCAAACCCAACTCTGTATACTCAAATGATATTTCCCTGTTAACTCTGTTACTTCATTGTCATGAGTCTTTTAAATGAAGTATGAAGTGTAAACACATGTTGATAGATTATCACACAGATATCGTGCGTTGCAAACTGTTTGAGTATTGTTTTTTTATGAAACTTCAAGTTTTTATTTTTTTCGATATTGCTCTTTTCAATGCTATTCTTTTTTGATGGTTTTCGTCGAGCTTTTTACATCAAATATAATCCGTGACAATCGTACACCTTGACATACATCAGTCGGACACCATCCCAAATCATAACAAACGCTAGTCAGAGACCGTCATGGACTGTGTATTAATAATGTCTTGTTATAATATATAAAGTAAAAGAGTGGTAAAGAAATATATCCCAAAATAGAAAGACGAAAACAATCTTCTGGTGATTAACAACAACAGCTACATCATGTTTCACGTTTTAATTCCACAGAAATTGTGTTAACAGTGTTTTTTTTAATATTTAGAATGGAAGTATTGTTACCAGTATTAGATGAACTTGTAGAATTACGTAATGATAAAATAGCAAATCTTGGTAATACGATATTCTTCACTTGTATTAAGTATGAAATACTATATTTATTTTAATTAAATTTATTGGAAATATTCAGTCCATTTGAGGATCTATCTGCACAATCAGTAATCAGACGACTTACAAAAATGGATACAGATGATAATGATGATACTATGCTAACTGTGTCACGTAATTGTCGACCCGTTCTAGAACATAAATTAGTAAGTCATTTTTTTTCTACGTGTTTCTTTTTTTTTTTTTTAATAAAAAATTATTTAAATAGTTAAGAGGAACACTTGTTGTTATTCATGGTGAAATTATGTTAGATAGTGAAGTACCAAAACAATGTTTTATACAAGTTTATAATGAACATCCACAACAAGAACATCTAGTCGATTATTTTGAATGTAAACAATGTTTAAGAAATGGACAACCATTAAGATGTAAAAATTAAAATTTTGAAAAATATTTTTTGAAAAAAACTTTTTTTTTTTCATTTAGGGATTTGTAAATCTTGTGCATCTGTTTGTCATAAAAGTAAGAAAATGATTTATTGAAAGACCAATATTGAATTAACCCAAAAAAAAAGCGAATTTTATTTATTCGTGTATCTCGTTTTTTTTTCATCATTAGATTTTGTAAGAACGAATTAATTAGTTAGTATGAATCTAATTCGAAGGATGTGTACAATTGATTTGTACCAATTCTAAATAGATTTTTGTAATATTTCTTTTATATGACATTTATTAAATCATTAGTTGGTAATCAGTACTAAAAATTCAGATATCCTAATATTAGAACGATAGTTCAAATAAAAAGAGTTGTTCTGAAATGTTCTTACGTATTTCATATCTGTTGAAAGCAAAAGATCACTTTTATCAACAAGTTTTTTCAATCTAATCTCAGTGATTTTTTTCTCTCCTGATTCTTGTTCTAATTTTAAGAATCTTATTTAATACATGAAGAAATTTATTCACAATCAATAAACTGATTGAACTATGATTCCAAATTTTTTTGTCAACTAACGAGAAAACCTTCGAAAATGTCGATTCTTTTCTGAGTTGGAATAAATTACATCATTTATAGATTCAAATGAGCTATGAACATTCTAAAAAAGGATTTGTGTCCGTAGTTTATTGCTCTATGTTTCATCATCATGCTGTCGTTCCCACTCAGGAACATTTAGAAAGCTCAGCTTCGAATTTCGACATCGAGCTTTGCACAAAGCAAGTCTTAGTAAAAATAGTTCATCACGAAAGTGTTACATATTTTCATTGCTGTTTTTCTGAAATGAAAATATCGAACTCTGCAAGTGTATATGAATGATGTAAAAAAAACATGGTTTTACCATAACCCTATCATACGATGGAAAGAATGAAATGATGCATAACTTTCACAATAAACCATTCTCATTGAAGCCTTCTTTGATACAATGTTTCAAGTCGAAAATCAATTTTTCTATTACTGTGGCCTTCATTTAAAAACTACCATATGAGTGCAGCATCTACGCAGCAATAAGCTATAGACACAAATCATTTTTAGAAAGTTCATAGCTCATCTGATTTGATGTGATGCATATAGTTTCAAGTCAAAAGCGTAATGCTATTCGAAAAAATTTTCTCTCATAAGGCTAGTCCCTAATGTTTTAAAGAGTGAGAATATATATATGAAAATCCACGATACTTCTTTACTATATTTCATTGATTTATATATCATATTAATTATTTATATGATATAATACATTAAATCTTTGACATATTTTCATATTAATAGATCATGGTGTAACTCCATTAATATTTAAAAACAAAGCTAATGGGTAAGATTTAATTCAATGAAAAACCAAGATCATTAATAATCAACTTTTTCTGTATTCTAGACCAAAATGTGATTGTCGAAAAAAGAATTGTCATATATATCCACGAAATTAACTATTGCAAATTTTTTCTTTTTTTTCGAAATCTAATATTTGTTTTCCGTCCTTTGTTTCTATGATAATATTTTTCTATTTATATTGATAATTCCGACCTAAATATTTTCTTTTCTTGTACGTATATTGATGGCATATATACAATAAGAAAATAAATTTTAACATGAATATATTCTTTAACGTTAAAGAAAAAGAAAATGGTTAAATGAAAACAAAAAAAAATTGATAGATATAAGAAGCAGATAAACGATACTTTTCTTTACCAAAACAACAATTATATTAGAGAAAAACAAAAATATACACTTTGTCTTCAGAAAAACAATGAGAAAGATTCTGTTCAGCTTTATATAATGTACCTATCGGAATGTTATATGGAAAGAATAGATCCTTGTGACTAGCAGATTCGTAATGAGACGAAGAAAAAAAAAAGGCAACACCAATAAAAGATTGCAGATAAAAATTTCAATTAAATAAAAAATAAAAAGTTAACAATTACGATCAGTTTCGTCACCAGAAATTTTACCAATAGCATCTGGATTTTGAATTGGATCAAGTTCAGCAAATAAATTAAACCAATTAGATTTGTCAGTAGATTTTCCTGTTGATGTTGTTGTTGCTGGTTTTGGTTTTGAACTTGTTGTTGATGATGCTACTGTTGGTTTATTGGCTTTATTTGTTGATGCTAATAATTCACTAAGAAGAGATGATGGAAGAAAATTATTATTTAATGCACCAGAATTATCTTGAGCTGTAGATGTTTGAAAAAGTTGTTGACTTATTGAATTATTATTGCCAAATGCTGCTGTCCAATCAGCATCAAAACTATTACTTTGATTTATTCCAAAAAGATCAGTATTGATATTACTATTATTAGTTTCAGATGATAATGGTGAAAGAAAATCAGCAAACAATTTTTCATTTTCATTAAATGAATCAAGTAAATCAACAAGATTATCACCACTAGTTGATGTACTTGGTGTTGTTTTTGTATTAGCTGCTGCTGTTGCAGCTTGATCAATAGTTGTTAATTTTTCTATTTCAAGAAGTTGATCATCAAGTTGAACATCTGATATGTCAATTAATGCATTGATTGGTTCGATTTGATCAATGATTTCTTCTAAATATTTATTTAAAAATTTCAATTTTATGTATTAAATTTTCTTACTCTTTTGAGTAACATTAGTTGATGTTGTTTGTTCTTTTGTTGAATTATCGATTGATTCATTAATATCAATAAGTGCATCATCTGTTGTTGTTACTTTTTTTTCATCTTGTTTGGTTTTATCTATAAATGAACTTGAATTCATTTCAGCTAACAATCGACTTGGTTCAGCAAGATCTTTAATAATAGTAAATTCATAATGTTGATAACCTTGAAATGATTCAGCAACAGCTGACATTATCTTTGATGTTTTAGCCCAAAAGCTAAGTAAATTTTTTTGATAAGCAGCTAATACATGTGAATACATATTACTATGAAGAACAAATAAAAATAATAAAAGATAATGATATAAGACTGTGATTTTTAGAATATTTATCTTAAAGATTAAGATTATTGATGTATTTTATTCTCTCATTTCGGCTAGTAATTGGAAGTTCTAAAAGAGAGGAGTTGGAAAAAATATTTCTATTAGTATTTACAGTCCATTATAGTGAAAAGTAACTGTCAAATTTTGATTGTGTAAGCAATTTTTGTTTAATCGGAATAAAATTATTTTATTAATTTGAACAATTATCATTACTTATTCAGACACGTAACACATATTTTTATGAAATTTGAACTAATGAAAAAAAGAAACTCAAGAAGATGAAGACTCATTATAAATCTTCATAACAGTCATTTTGACATAAGTACAATAATCTTAAACATTCAGCATCTTTTTTTATTAGTTCTTTATCTAGCATAAGAGCGGCGCTTGTTCAAAGATCGGATTAACATTTCTCAGAGTTTGTAATTCTTCTACCATCTAGTTTGTGCTTATGCTTTCAAAAATGGATGTTCGCCCTCCTGGAGTTTTAAATTACTCTTCCGGAACAGGAAATCTGGATAAAATACTGTTTCTTTTTAGTTTGATAAACTTTCAGAAAAAAAGAGTCGTAATTAAAGCACAAATGTTGCCTTTCTTACTAACCATCGACTAGCTGTTAGTAGATCAATTTTTTGTATAACATCCGATTTTAATCGTTCATATTCAGTTTTCGTTGTTTTTACTTGACTTTGTACTCGACGAAATTTTTCTAATTGTTTTTCTGGATCAAGTTGTACTGATGCATCTTTTAACCATAAAATACTTCCACGATATTCTGTTCTTGCTGTTTCCATACGTTTTACTGTTGTGAATGTATCTGTTACTGCTCGATGACGAAATGTTTCAATTTCATTATGTAAACGTAATAATGGTTGTCGTAAAGTTAAACGTTGTTGTGCTGTATAAGCAAGTACCTTTGATACACTTGCCATCATTTTACCTGCACGAGTTTTATCCATTTGTGCATAATCTTTTAAAAATCGAGCCATATCTGTTTCTTCATGAGAAAGAAAAAGAACATTTTTTTGGTAATGTTCCATAATCTAAATAAAATGATGATTTGAATATAGAATATGAAAAATAAATAAACGTACACGAAGTAAATCATGACATGATCGTTTTATTGTATAAAGTAATTCAAGTTTAGCATCAACATCAGCATCCGATGCAATTATAAATTCATCTTCTTCTCGACCAAGTTTTTTAATAACAAGTTGTTTTGTTGTCCAATATTTTGAACGTAATTTACCTAAGCTAGTTCGATCTTGATGTTCAGCATATTTATCGTACGATAAATTATTTGAATTTTTATAACTCATATTTTATATGTTACGTTTCTGATCAGAAATAGAAAGTAAGTGACGACCAAAAAAAAAAACACCTTGAATCATTCGATTTTTTTTTCTTATTCATAAAAAAAAGGAAAAAATTTTTTTTTTTTCTTGTTCAAACCAATAGAGTATTTTCTTTCGACATCTATTGAGTGGTTTTACAATTGGCTACAGACTCCAAACGTAGAAACACACACGTCACATAGAATAAAAGACGAATTGGATCTTTCATAGAATCACAAGTATCTTATTCAACTGTTATTTTTCTTGAGCTTTTTGTTAGATATTGAATTTATTCCGAAAAAAATAGGATAGAATAAAACAGAAAGTTTTTTTTTTTTATTCGAAATTACCATTATATCTGAGCATTCAGCAGGTAGGTACTCGATATAATTAATAAAAAAATGTATTTTATACAAACGAATATATGTTAATAAACAGTGTTTTATCCAGATTTCTTCTTCCGGAAGCACGACTTAAACCTTCAGGAGAGCAAACACTTATTTTTGAAGAAACATGTACATAGTAGAAGAATGGCAAACTCCGGGAGAGAATCAATCTGATGTTTAGAGTAACGCGACCCTCATGTTGGATAGAACACTGATTAAGAAATAGAATTATTTAAAAAATGACTTGTGTATGCATTATTAATATAAATCAGGTTTAATTTAATTTTAATTTTAGATTTGTATTTATTATTATAATAAGAAAAAAAAATGAGTCAAGTAGGACAAGTTGTTGGTATTTTACGGAAACTTAATGATGAATATCAAATGAGTACACCGAAAAAATTGAAATTAATTGATGCATATTTAGTATATGTTTTATTAACGGGTGTTATTCAATTTGCTTATTGTCTTCTTGTTGGAACATTTCCATTTAATTCATTTCTTTCGGGTTTTATTTCAACAGTTAGTTGTTTTATTCTGGGTGGTAAGATTTTATAATGATGAAAATTTTAATTAAAATTTTTTTCTTATTCTTTGTTGTTTTTGTAGCAAGTTTACGTATTCAATTAAATAAAGCAAATCAATCAACATTTCATGTATCACCAGAACGAGCCTTCGCTGATTTTGTTTTTGCTCATGTTATTTTACATTTAGTTGTCATTAATTTTATTGGCTAAAATGAAGTGCAAAGAATAAAATAGACATTTAACAATATATTATCACTCTTGGGTGTTTCTGTTGTTTTAGCGTTCTTTTTTCGTAGTTTCATTGTTGATTTTCTTTTTCTTTATTCTCTCGTTTTGTTTTCATTGACATCCATTATGTTAAATGAAAAATAAAATAAAAACGAAGAGATTATTCAAAAACAACAAGTCACTTTTCAATTAGCATAATGAATTACTATACAAGTCACAAAATAATGAGAAATAAATATTGTTCCACTAGTAAATCAAAGAAATATTTGCATGTTGAAATGAGATTAATAGTTAATCTCTATTTTACTTCTTTTAAATTATTCATAAAAGATATAATATAAATTAAAATAAAATATCTTTAATTTTGAGATAGATATTCTTAGTTTACCATTAATAGAATAGCAATATGTATGTCAATAATTTTTGCTTTTATTTTGAAAAATTAGTGTTTGTATGTAAACTCCTTTGACACTTCCAAACATGAAAAGGAGAGAGATCCATGCAAAAATATGTAGTTTATCTTGATTAATAGCCTTAATATTGTAGGAGAAGGGAACTACTATGTTATTGTTAGTAAAAAGAAAAGAAGCTAAGGAAAACTACAAAATGAAAAAAAGAAACCGTAGAAAAAGAAAAAGTTCAGTAGTAATACGGATACATTTGTGGTTGCTGTAACATTGGATTCATTGAATAGTACGGCATTTGTACTTGTTGATATTGAGGAACAAATTGAGCCCCATTAGCCAGCATCATTTCTTCTTGACGTCTTTCATATCTTTCCATGCGTTGTAAATCTTGTGATAGTTGAGCACGTTGAAGACGACGTGCAACGTCAGCCGGTGTTGAACGTACTGGTGGAATAAATGGAACAGGCGATGAAGGTCGTGATCGTATCAATTCAGGTGAATGCGATCGTTGATGATAATGAGCCGGACTGCCAGGTTGATATTGATGAAAATGTGCAGGTGAACCAGCTCGAGAAAAACGTTCACGAGATCCGGATCGACCTAAGCCAAAAGGAGAAGCAATAAAATTTAATGGAGAAGAACGTCGAGGATTTCCTCCTATTTGATATTCCGCTGCTTCATCGATGTAATTTTGTCCCACTACCATTGGTACATGATGTTGATTATACATAGCTGCTTGTTCATATGGATTTATAGCAGCATAAGCTTGTTGTTCTCTTGATGCTAAAGCTACATATCGTGCTGCTGCTTCAGCACCCATTTGATAAACAATATCAGGTAAGGGTTCACCATCTGGATGGTTATAATAACGTTTCTTTTTTCGAAAAACACGCATTGAGAGTTAACCAACAGTAATGATAAATAAACCTGTTTGTTGTCATCTTATTTATATAATATGAAATCAATCAACCAAATCAAATAGGGGCAACTATCAATTAACGAATGAATAATAAATATTTGTTTTTCTCATTTATGTAAATTATTTTGAAAGAAAAGCAACCAATTTGAAAACAAAGCTTATTGTAAAGTCTATATTTATTAAACCAATGCTATATGACTGATCGATCATTTTCATAGAAAAAAAAAGGAAGGACGACATATTCTGATCCATATTATTGATAAGTACAAAGTATATTCATCATCACTTTTTTTTTTTTTTTTATTCTCTAAATTGATAACTTCATGGATAATTAGTCTGTAACTGGTTCTATCACACGTTATCATAGATGTGCATGCATAATTTTTCTTTCTAAATATAAATCAATATCAATCTTATACATCGTCAATGTGAACATTGAAGAAAATGCTGACGTAGTAAAATTAGTCATAGGTTTATCAACAATCAAAATCTCAAATGTAAAAAAGAAAAAAGCTAGACATTTGTACGAGAGCGTCAAATTTTGTTTCGGATGATCACTTGAGACAAGAAAAAGAATAACGAAAGAATAAAAAAAATATGGCTGTTATTCAAAAGAATGCTGACAATCGTCAAAAAGCATCATTTCCAAGACGTATAGCAAGTAAGTCTATATTAATTAATACATATATATATATTTTAGATTACAAGAAAATTATAATTCTTTAAAATTATTAACAAATGATTTTATATAGACAAATACATGTATAAATATTAAATCACAGACTCAAGATACAGATTGTGCTCAACTTAAGTTTGACACTACCACTTGAAAGATATGCTTCTTTTAATAAGATGATTTTACGATATCGGATCGGTTCATGTATATATACATATAAATATATATATATGAGTCTATTTTTATCATTTGGCTGATTTGAGCTGTGCAAGGGCATAACACATGAACAAAAAAAAAAAGAACTGATGAAGAATAAAAACGAAGAGATCGATCGAACACATAAGTGTACGTGAGGATCGAATTTCCTTTTCTACTCTCTTTCCTTCTTCGTTTTGTGCCTATTTGTTCGCAATCGAGGACGGGCGTTCACTTGTTGTGCCGACGAATGAAGTAGTGTTGGTATCTAATTCTTACAAACAAAAAAAACCTCGTACCGAACAAGTGAGTAAGCAATGAGAAGAAAAGAATGTGTATATATATATATGCGATATCTGAGTCAATTCAACTAGTTTTAACGTTGTTGAAAAATGAAGAAGAACAATTCATTTAAGTAATATAGATAGATGAGGATAAACGAGCAACCAAAGACTGTATTCTCTTTTTTTTCTATATATATATATTAATAAGCGGTTCACTGATAGGGCATTGGCATTGTATTGAAAAGAGAACAAACGAAACACCTGTTTATTTGTCTTTACAACCTTTTTATAGCTTACATTTCATCGATGAATTTTGCTAAAGTATTTCGTCGTCATCATTCAAAAGAATCATCTTCACCTGTTCAAAAATCATTCGAAAGACCATCATTAAATCATCATTTTCATGGATATGCTCGTCCATTTTCTTATCATATACCAACAAATGAACAATTATCTCCATCATCATTAACTAAAACATCAAATATAATTCCATATCGTATTGGTTTATCTAGTGATAGTACAATTTTAGCTAATGGTCAAACAAATGAAAATGATGATATTGTTCGTTTACCAATAAAATCTAATAGATTACAAAGTCCAAAAATGCGTAAAGATCGTCGTTACCAATCTCAATTAAATGCAAATAAACGATGGTTATTTCGATCAATGGAAACACTTGATGGATGGAAAGAAAAAGTATTTCCACAAAAAATTCGTACAACTAAGTTTGTATTATAAAAATCAAATCTTTCATTTAATATTTTGTAAGTTCTAGTCAGTCACGATCACGTAGTGTAGAAAATTTAGCTGATGAAAAAACAACTGAAAATATATTAATAAATCATAATCCATCAATAATACAACAACGTACGACATCATCTAATAGAAGTATCGAAGCGATTACAAATCGTGTAATCAATAATATTGGTATTCAACGAAAATCAACTAATTCAATACCTAATATTACACGAAGTCCAGCATTAACTATTCAAAAACAATCATTATTGAATCATTTACCTAATGGTCATAATAATAATAATATATCAAAACAATATAATAATGAAACAAATTCTTCAGCTATTCTTGATTTTCGTGAAATATCTTCTGTTGGATTTTTACATTCAAGTAAATCTATAATGAAATTTTGATTTGATTTTCTTATTTATTTATTTTTTTATTTAAGAAAGACGATTAATTGATGATAATGAAAATATTTCATTAACACCATCAGAAAATATTATCAATAGTATAAATATAAGTGATGATGAAAATGACGAAGTAATAAGTAATTTATCATTGTTAACTAATGGTTATGAACATAATAATGATAGTCATAATGAAACACATGATCCATGGGATTTTAGTATAACATGGATTGATTCTCTTAAAGAACAAAATTCACCTCAACGTAAAATTCAATTTTATGAAAATTTAATCCAATTACTTGAACAAGATACATTAAGTATTGATGAACTACTTGTTTTACGTAAAATACTTACAAAAATTTGGCCTACAAATGAAACTATAACAACAGATCTTAATAATCAAATTTTTTCTACTGAATTAAAAACAAATGTTACAAAATCACTTAATAATCCAAATCAAATTAAACAACGTCCAAAATTATCTACAATGACACATCATACAGCTCAACGATGTTCAACTATTCTTGAACAATCGCCATTGGTTTATGAACCATTACATGAACAAAATAGTGGTCATCCTAACAAACCAACATCTTTATTAGTCGCTGCCAAAGCTAAACCTTGTTTTATTGAAAATACGAATGAACCAATATTAAATCAGAAAGAAAGTTCTACTATCGAACAAAATTATCCTCAACATTTAAATCCATTCAATGATGAAATAGGTAAAATAAAAAGCTTCAGTTAGAGAAGAAAAAAGAGAAAAAAAAAAAACCCATCATTCATTTCTTTCATGAATAGATATCATACCATCAATACAATCAAATGAATCTAATCGTAAAAATAATAATGATTCAATTCGTCGTTATTTTGAACGACTAACACTTCTTGAAACTATTTATGAAAAACTAAATTTTGAATCAAATAAAACACCATTAGAATCTATTAATCATCATCAAAAAATTTCAACACAAGAAAATTCAAGTGAATTATCATCATCATCACAAAAAAATCGTTCAGTTGAAAAACAAATACAAATAAATGATGAAACAAAAAATTATTCACATATACATTCGTCCATTAAATCAGGTAAAAAACAAATAAAAGTAAATAAATATTCATTTATATTTTTATAGATGCAAATAAAGCAATTTTAAATAAATTCATTGAAATGAATGTTGATGGAACTGCTAGTGTTAGTAGTGGAAAAAGTTCAATTAAAAGACGAGCACCAACTGCTCCACATATATCTCTAAAAGATAAAAAACATCAGAATCATTCAAATAATTCAGTAAGTGGACAGGATTTCATCAAGTATTATTACTTGTATTGTATAACAAAACTTACAAAAAAGTTACGAAACATTTTTCAAAGAAAATAATAAAAATCTTCTATGTTATAAACTTATCAATCAATTGTATAATCTTTTTATTTAGCAGAATTATATTCATATTAAACATTGCTTTTTTTTTAGAACATGTTTACTTTATCATCAATTGATCTTAATTTAACACATAAAACTGATCAAGATATAAATAAATCCATTCGATTTAAATCATATGATGAAAAACTTCCAAAACGAGAAGTGAATTCAAAAGAACGAACACCACCACCACAAGATACAGCTGCTTCATGTGATGATGATGGACATATTTTTGTTTATGATTCTAATCCGAATGAAACTCATAATAACAATAATAATGAAGAACAATCTAGTAAATCAAACATCTTCAATTTTCAAAACTATACAAACTTTTTTTTTTCAGCTACATTACCAAGAAAAACTGATCGTATTCAACAATGGTTATCATCATGTGAAACCAAAGAGGAATTAGATATGCAAAATAGTTTATTGACACTATCACAAAATACTAGTCCAAAAACTCAATTAAAAATGCGTTGTATTACAAAACCAATACGACAACCAAGTGCATCACCACAACATTATCAAGATAAAAATCTTTCAACAAAAATCAATAATGAATTTGCTGAACAAGGTCGTTTTCGAAGTTGTTTAAAAATTCATCTTGAAAAAAATGAACCTACTACAAACTATCGAAGTCGTGCAACATCAGCTACATCAAAACATAATCAACAACCCAAAACAATTCTAGACGAAAACTTCAATACTACAGATAATGATGATGATAATGAATATTTTAAACGAAATAAATTATCACCTAGTTTTCTCTATGATCATCAAGCTGTATTTCTTTAATGTTAGATATTATACTTTTTTTGTCTTTTGTTCTTGCCTTTGTATATTAATATTTCAATCGACGTTTCTTTTTTCTAATATGCATATATATAAACTCATATAGAATTTCTTTTTCTTTATTAAATTTTCATACTAAGCAACAAGTTTGATTTATCGAAGTTAATTGATGCGATGTATCGCATCAATTAAATCATTCTCTCTCTTATGCTCTCTTCTACCTCGCATCAATTACCAACTACTATTAATTGATGCGCATATATCAAACTATTCGATAGTATATATGAACAGTGTGATTTGACAAAAAACATTACTTACGTTACCACTATCATTTTCTTATTAACAGCAATGCAACAATCTCAACCATCATCAACATCATACATGTATCCATCATCTCCAACACCAAATTTACCTCTTTATGATTCTGGTTATGTATCATATGATTATTCATCACCTTCACCGTGTTCATTTCATTATTCAACATGTCCATATTCAAACAACGAATCATTGTATATGCCTGCACAACCTTGTATGTTAAAAATTCATAATAAAAGAAAATATTCATCTTTTTTTTAATTTCAGATCTATCATACTATAGTCCAACATCACACATAATGCATCAAACACCGCAACCATTTGCTAGTAGTACTCCTACTCAGTCAAGTAATGTATGTCTTGTTCCTACAATTAAGGTAAGATTCTAATTTTTTTCACTTATTTGTATTGTATGCATATATTCAGTGAGTATGTTGTTTTTGATGATAGAGATTCATTGTCGATTGTACATGAATTAATTTTTTTCTTTTTCTCTTTTTTAGGATTCACAAGCTAAACGTCGTCCTCAACAACGTCAACCAGTTATGCCTTCACCATCTTTATGTTCAGTAAGGACTTTTCATTAATCTCAATGTTTTTTATGACGATTATTGTTTTATGTCTTAGGCTCGTAAACGCATTAGTGATGAAGCAACTGATCGTCTTAATGCTTTTTATGCAATAAAAAAACGTCCAACGGAAGCTGAAAAAGATCGTCTTGCTATGGAATGTAATATAACATTAGCACAAATAAATACATGGTTTAACAATGCACGTTCACGTCGTGGTGATACAAATCCAAAATTAGCACAAAAATTACTTAAACAACAAATTGATTCGTTAAGCAATCAAGTCGCTCTTCTACAGCAACAACAGGAATCAACGTATAATTCTTCTTGATAACATTCTTCTTTTTTTAAATAAGTTCTGTGTATGTTTTATTTCTCTTGTTAAATAAAAAAAAACTATTTTGATAATAAAAATTGTATTTATCTCTTTGAAAAAAGCAAATATCTTTTGTTCGATTAATATATTCAATTGAATAATGCATTTGCATAATTATACATTTACTAATATAAGTGTTAACAGTTGAACTTATTTGTACATCTTCATTCTATGTAGGTCATCAGAATAGTAATATATTACGATTAGATAAAATTGTTGTGATTATGTGTTGCTTATGAGAATTCATCTAGTAATGATAGATTTGATGCAAAGACGGGTCAGTTGATAATGCGTGACTTTTTCTATATGATTGTACATTTTTTCTTTTCTTCTATTGCACAAAGAATATGTTTAGTTGAAAAAGAACCTTGCAGATAATCGATCTATTTAATGACTGAGTAAAAGATAAAACAAAAATGAGACTGCTGTTTCATGTTCTCCTTCCTTTTCTTTGTGGACAGTGGTAGTGTATATCATAAGTAGAACAACAGCATTATTGTGTTACCAGAGATAGATATTATGATAGTACATATAATGCTTGAATATATCTGATTGATTGATATAGATGAGGTTACATCTACTCTTATCGAAGGAAATAGATTTTAGTAACGATTGATTTTATGCAAGAAATGAAACAATAATCTATTGATGTTCATTTGTATCATTATTGATTATTTGATTTAGTTTAGCATTTAAAAAGAAAAAAAAAAACAGTAAAATCAGGTTATAAATAAAGATCGAATTAATTTTTGTTTCGTCTTTTTTTATGTAAGAGTTTTATTTACAAGTAAGCTGTCTTTTTTTATCGGGAAACAAAAATGAAATACACAAGTAGTTCGTCACGAGATAAACAGTAAATAAAGTGAGTTATTTAAAATGAGAAAAAAAATGATAACATCAGTTTGTTTGAAAATAGACGAAAACTTGTTTTAATATATTTTACTTTGTATATTACATCAATGAATTCGAGATAAGTATTGATACTATTGATCATACTATATATCCACTTATTAGTTCAGCAGTTCCGATTGATTTTGTGATATTAGACAACAAAAGAAAGGAACTTATCTGTCTTTTGTTAGATTTTCTGTATAGAATCACAGGCTGTCTTTTCATTTATAATAATATTCATCATGTTTGTTAGCATATCGCTCAATAGAATTCATTGCCAGATATTCGAAATCACTTTGATAGATCTACTATCTTCTGATACTATTTTATATGCATACGAATGACATGCACCAACAGTTTACATCTTCGTAAAGCCGGATATCTATTCTTTGGATAAAATTTATAAATGAGCGAATAGATTCCAGATGAAGATAAGACAAAGAGTTAACTTGAAATTTATAACTATATATTGTTGTTGTACAACTTATTTAGTCATTCAGGTTTTAGACAGTTGCTTTAGAGTTATGAATTGTTCAATCCTGTTAAATGTAATGCAATAAAAAAAAAAACTCTTGATCTATAACTATTGCATCATTTTTTTCCTCATTGTTTTCTTGGCATGATCATCTTTCAAAATTCCATAATTGTGAGTTCATGTCATTTTTCTATGTAATCGTTTGTCTTCTTCATTCTATCAGAAGGAATAGAAGAATAATTGTTGAGTTGTTTTAAATAGTCTAATTGAACATCTCATATACTCTAATGTCAACTTAGGCAGAAAAAGCTACAGGAAAAGAAAAAGAATAGGTTTGTTAAATTTTTTTTTCTGTAATTTCGAATAAAATTTAATCGATATTTTTTTTTTTTATTAGAAGATTATGTTCAATAGTCACATCATCAATACTCATTGTTAGAGCTTAATTTTTGATATTCTGATATATGATAGTTTCATCAATGATTGCTTCAATCATCGACCGTCTTTCAAGGTTTGTTTGTATCAGTTTCTTCTCTTGCTCTACTGAGAATTATAATCTAAAGTGCAATAAAAATAAAGAGTTGAAGAATATTTTATTCTTTTATAACTACATAAGGAAGTTGGATTATTTTCAAAAGATTATCTTTCTAGACATACAATGATTAAATTAAATCTTCACTATCATTATTTATTATTCTTACTTATTATTAATTATATTTCTGGTCAAATATGTCAAAATAATATTGCAGATTTTTTTGTATGTTTTAATTGAATAAGAAAAATTCTTTGTATTATTTTTGTTTTATTTTTATTTTTCGTTTAGTACAATGTTAATTTTGCTGGACCATTTTTTGATCAAACCGTTTATACAACATTATCAAACTTTTCTGTATCAACTCCAAATAATACACAAGTATTTAAGTTTATTGTTAAACCTCAAACAATTAGCAATCGACCGAGTTTTATTCCAATAACAGTTAATAATTGTGCACTTGATATGACATCAGGAAATATAATTGTAACATCAAGTCATCCACATTTTACTGTTGTTAATTTAGTAAATGATTCTTATGCTCTTATTACAAATACATAGTATGTCTTAAACATGAATATTTCTAATATTATCCATTTAAAAAAAAAAAGGAATGTCAGTAGTTGTTTTTTTGCATAACTTTTCATAGGAACGACGAAGAGAACTCGGATATTTACCATTCAAGAGAAAACACTTAAGGTTATCGAAGAAAATTTAAATCTGACTGATCAGCAATTGACCAATCAATTGAGTTCTTAGCGAAGATTTTTCGAAAACGACGATTTGAAATCACTTGTAATTAGTCTTTGATGTGTAATATGGTCAATCGGTAGGGAAAAGTCTTCTCTTTCGATTTACGGAAACTCCGATTTTACAGTCGTTATCGCTCAACGATTCTCTTGAACTCCTCTTTCTCTCGATTCCAGAGAATTGACCTTGGAGAACTTCAGAAGAACTCTAGACGGAAGGAGATTAGCTAGGTTGAGTAAAATGGTGATGTTTCTTTCCAGTTTCAAAGCTATTCAAGATCACTATTTCAGTATTTTTCAAATTTCATAAACTTCACCAATGCAGTATAAAAGTCGAAATTTTGAAAGCGCTCAAATAATGGATCAAGATCGTTTTGATACTGAAAACAAACGTCACCATTTCGCTCAGCATGGCGAATTTCCTTCTGTCTAGAGCTCTTTTGGAGCCTTCGGAAGTCTACTTTCTGAAATCGAATGGGGAAGATTCAGAAAAACTCTTGAATGGAAGCGGCTACGAGCTTAAGGTTTATGTAAATCGAAAGAGATGAATTTTTGTACCAATTGGCTATACTATATGTCAAAATCTAATGACAAATGACTTCAAACTCTCATTTTTCAAAATTTTTGAATGGTGAAAACCCCAGTTCTATTCGTCGTTCCTATTAAAAGTTATTCAAATAACAACCATTGGCACACTTTTTCGAAATGAATAATACTAATATATATGCGTATGACTTTTTATTTAGTCCTTTGAATTATTTCTCACCTTATAATCGTTATTTATTTGAATTAATTGCAAAACAAACATTTTCTAATCGACCACCAGTAACTTCAAAAGCACAAGTTCAAATAAATTTAGATAATGATAATGTTCATGATCCGATTTTTATTCCTGATAATCAAACATTTTATATAAGTGAAACAGCTCAACCGGGAACACAATTTGGTACAGTTTATGCTATTGATCTTGACAATGATGAAATAACATATTCAATGCAATGTGTACAATTTTGTATTGAATCATTAACCGGTGTTTTACGACTTGAAAAATCATTTGATTCGTCATCACAATCTGAATATTTTATTAATGTTACAG